CTGCATGATTAGTGCAGTTAGTAGTGCAAAATGTCGAATGCTGATGATCTACAATGTACCTCTCCAGAAATTGCTGAAGCAGCGAAAGGGACAATAAAGAAACAACATTGGTAAATGTCAATAATGTAACGGTAAAAGTAAAAACGCTTAGTGGCAAAAATAGAATTCTTACTCTATGGCTGAAAGGCAAAGTTGTACTTATCATAAAAGTGGTCACTTTTGTGATGTTTGCGGATTAACTTATTTTCTTGTTAATTTTCTCTTGGATACTCTTATTTTGTTTTCAAGAATTTTTACAACCTTTTTTTGCGTTGAATTTTTTCAAGAATTACACTTGAGTGCAAAAAGCGCAAATTGTCAAAAACAAAATTGTCAAATTTATCAGAGTTTTACTTAGTGTGAAAAAGGTTGTTCCCAAAAAGGTTAGAAATGTATTTGATGGTCTTATCAGTGCAGTGTCATAGTCAGTATTAAAAGCGAAATGGAAAAACATGTAAAAATTTGATAGAAGTTTGGAAGATATCTGACAATTATGAAATTGTGAATTGTGACAAAGATAATATCAAAAAACTGGCATTTATTAACAAGCCAAATTAGGAACATTATAAAATTTCAATTTGCGTTTTTTTGCACTCAAGTGTAAGTCTGGCCGATTTAAGTCTCCGAATACTTTCTTATTGTACCAGTTTCTTTTGATTATTACATTCATTTATAAATTTATAGTTTTAAAATGTTTTATCACGTTTTCAAACAAAAAAACAAAAAACCTTTGAATCAAAAGTACACTCAAAGTAATAATAAAACGTTGAATTCCAAAATGAATTATCAACGATTTACGAGGGTTTTAAAAAAATTCGTGTATTTATTAGATAGAATCGAAATGAGTTAAAAAAATATAATTCAATAGTTTCTGTAATTTTTACACATTTTTTCTTCACTGCATGCGGTATCATTAGATGTTTGTTCATTACTTTCCTCTCTAGTTTTAAAAAGATGGTCTCCTAAAGCAGAAATTATGTCGTGCCACATCAAAGAGCACACAATGCGAGCGCCGAGCTCGACAGACAATTTATGCCAGTGTCGAGTGCCCCCCTTCGATTATCGATTGTGCGTATTTTCAGCGTAAAATAAATAGCAAAAGACAGCGAAACAACTCGTGTCCATTTCCAAAGTTCTAAACAGCTTTTCAGCCCGTTTACACAAAGTTTTATGTTTGTTGAGAGCGCTCGCGGAAGTAAATCGAGTAGTGGTCATCACAGATAAGAATGCTTCAATAATCCGTCGGTTCACTATAACGCGGCCGGAGGCTTTTTGTGAAACGTTGTGGAGTTTCCCAAGTTGGAAACTGGATTTAACTGCTAAACAAAGACACTCAGCCTTCGTGCGTAATTGTTAAACTGCTTGCGTTAGCCGCTTCTGATATCTTAACCGATTTCGCGCTTCGCCGACTCTCTATACTCAAAATTGAAGCTTTCGCATGGAGATAATTACTTCATTAAAGCTCGGGAGTCTAGCTGAACACCAATAAAATTTTTATTGACCCGGCTTGACTCCCCTCGTTTAAGCGTTGTTTAACGTCCAAGTGGCGGAGATAATTCCCGATTTCTCTCATTTGACGCAAAAATATTTCAATAAAATAACAGCATCCATCACATTGCATTAACTCTGGACCGGGCACGCCTTGCGAGCGCAATAAATCGAAAAATAAATGCACAAAACCCATAAACGTGCATTATTCGAAGCTATTAAAACGCTCTTATAAAATATGTGCAGCTTTAGTAAAATAAGCGCCCTGTTGTGTGATCCTCTTTCACGAGGAAACGGAGCATATATGCGGTCATTCCACGGACGATCATAAAAGACTGCGGTGTTAAACCGAGAACATTCTTTACAACCTTCGGGAAAAAAAGAAAATTCGTGTGAAACGATTCCCTCTCTTTCGACTCTTTTATTCCGAGGTATGTAGCGGCGCTATTTGCAATCCGGAGCTTTTCTGACCGCCACGTCGTAAAATTTGCACAATGCATTTATCTTGCGTAATTTAATGTTGAATTTAAAAGGATTACATCCAAAGCGGCACACTTATACTAGTGTGAAAAGCGGGATGGAAATGGCCAAGTGGTTGGCCCTAACAGACAGCTGCACTCGGGATTCTGCTCCAATTAGCAACGGTTGTGCAAAACGAGGATTTTCAAGCGGCGAAATACAAAATGACACAAACTATTTGCTGTATAGTTTCTAAAAAATCTGTCTTACTTACAGTGCAGAAAGTAATAAACAAAGCAACAGTATTTTTGTATTTCAATTGTTGAATTTTGTTCTATAGAGTAAGAAAGGAATAATTCTTGACAGCAAATAGTTTTGAAAGATTCTCGAATAAAATGTATTACCTTCATTATTAATATCGAACAATACTGGAAAAAAATGTAGAAAAAAAAGATTACTTCCTGTTGATTAAAAAATGTGAAGAAAATAAGGTATTTCCTTAAAATAAAAAAATGATTTTATGCAAAGTAAGTTATGCAAAAACTTTTCTTTAAAGCTCATAGCAACATAGTTATAACAATTATTTCATTATGAGTATTGTCGAATATAACATACATGCTGTTTTTTTAATATTGCGAAAAATTGCAACCAAATATTCTACATCGAAAAATAACACTAATTTATCAAATAAACGATAGTCCGATAAAGCTTCGTTATGGATGTTTAAAGTGTAAAGTGATAAAGTTTTGTAATTAAATTAAAATTAATTCTTTCGAAACTATTTTGAATTATTTTTACTTTTACTTTATTTTTACCGTTATTACTAGCATGTGTACGGGCACGTTACTGGATATCTCTATATCTTTATTAATGTTATTTTTGGATGTATGTAGATTATGTGAAAGAAAGAAAAAAAAATCCTGTATAAAACTAATAGAGTTATCTAGAATCTAAGGTCAGAATCTCAAATTACCATCAGTAGGTAAAGGTAATCGTACCAATGTAATAATAAAAATTCAAAGTCCAATTGTACTAAAAATTTATTAGTCATAATGATTTTACAAGTACATATTTCGTTGCTTGTACCAACATTGGCATTAGTTAAAGGAGATTTTTTAATTAAACAATTTTTTTTAATTTACATATTACAAACAAAATATTAAGGTTGTAATATGTAATAGCACGGTAAATAGACGTACAAAATTATGTCAGGTATAGTATAATGATTTTCTATATGACTAAAGTCTTGCGAAACTAATAGACTTAATGGTGATTGCTTATGATATTTATTAGTAGTTAATTTAAATAATGAAATAAGCTAGGTTTTTACTAACACACTTGTTTTAATTGTTTTTGAAAAATTACTCAAAGTTGTAAGTAGGTATATGAAAATTTTGCTTAATAAAGGACGTTTTCATAATAATGAATATTTAATTTCAATTATGAAAACAATTTTTTGATTAAATAGGTATGTAGTTTATTAGCACGATGTTAATAAAATAGTTATTTTTATTACAAGTACGTAAAAAACAGTTTTTGCGGACAATGAGTTTGCAAAAACGTTTTAATAACTTTCAAAAACACATTCACACTTATTATTTATGGTTAATGTCAATAAAGCAAAAATTCCTCGAAAACTGTGAGCTTCGAATTTTAATCGTCATACAACCAGATTCTTCTTCTTGGATCTTCTTGGTATGGAAACGATGAACAAAAACACGATAAGCCCGTCACACTAAAGTTTTTAAAAAACAGAAAAAATCCTAATTTTGAAGCAAAACAGTTTAATTTTATAGGTAATAATTACATCTCCAAAAGTTTGGTGTGACGGGCTTATTGTGTTTTTGTTCATACAACCAGATTGTTTTTTTCGTCCATAAAAACACCTATTTTGCCTACTATTTTATAGAGTCCGTAAAATAGCTATTTTTGGGAGAGTAAAATCATTGGTTAGAAATTATTTAAAAATAAATAAATGAGAAATAATAAAAGAAATAAGGATGAAAAACATTTTTATAAGTTCATAATCGAAATAAAGGGACTAAAGTTAAAATATGTTTAGATTGTGCTAATTACTACGGACACATTAACAAAATTTCACATTCTAAACTAACTTTAAAGTCTCTTTCATTTGACTATGACACCGGCTCTAAACAAATAAAAAATGTAGAGCACAGTAAACTGTTTCAAATTGCTGCCAAACTCAAATTTATGAATATGTTTATTGTTTAGTTGGCAGTAAAAAATTCACTTCGATCGATGTTTGGCGTTTTTTGATTCAGTTTGACCGAAACTATTCGATTAAATTTGTTTTAGTGGTGGACTTTCGAATATTGAATTTGTTGATGTTGCATGAGGTCGTTGCGATTTAGCAAATCTCGTTCGTATTTCTATGCAGATTAGGCAATCATCGTGTGCCGAATTTGCGTTAACGTTTGAACTGAATGGTGCAATAATTAGACCGATGTCGAGGCACATGTTCGCAGGTGACCGCTTGCAACAATGCTCACAATTACCGAAACTAATTGAGCTGTTATAAACGCATTATTATTGGCACGGCTGCGATACGCTTGCTTTCGAGCGAAATTTGTATCTCATCGTTAATCCCGACTCAGGCTCTTTTATTTTCTTATCTCTCGCATTAGCGTTAAATTTAATCAACTTGCTGTTGCATGACAATAGCTCCCGGGGGACTTTTACGGCTAGGTGCGAACTGAAATGAAGCTATTTTTGTAAAATATGACGCCATCTCGATTGCAATGGTCCGAAAACCGCATTAGCATAAAACGTCGTATCTAATGCCGCTTTTTAATCTGGATTTATCTTGAAATATTCATAAACTAGGGGCGGTTAAGTGGATAACCAGAGAGACATTGTAATGTCGGACTAAATTGCTAACAGTCAGCAAAAGGCGTAATTAGTTTAAATTACGTAAGAGACTCAAGTTGTGAGAGATAACAAGATTATATGGAACTTTGTTATAAACATTTCTTACTTACTTCAATTTTTTACAGACGATGAACCAACGCCTACAATCGAGGAACAACCAATTTACGACGAAAACGATGAAGGTAAGTTCTACAGGGTGCGCCAGAAAAATGCCATAAGGTAAGATACTAGCAACATGGAAGAAATGTTAAAAAAAATTGCAAAAAAATGTAAAAAATTTTTCAGAGATAGAATGTTTTAAACATTTTTTCCATGTTTTAAACATTTTTTCCATGTTCCCGGTATCGTATCTTACTTTAATTTTTTCTCTGGGACGCGAGTTCTGACACACCTTGTATACAGGTGGTACTGAAAGTAATTTTTATTTTTAGAAGAGGAAGATGAGGAGGCGGGTTATGGCGAAGTCGATTTTAAATTTACTGATTTTGCACGCCGGTAGTTTCACGATTAGTAATATTTTTTATTATTTTAATTGGAAAAATTTCAGATTGGCTCACCCAAAAATAGTGCGAGCTTGTGGCCTAGCTTTGAGAGACTTCGAGACCAATTCCGTAAACACAAATCACTGCATCATTAAACTGCTCCATCGCATTGCTTTCGATTGTAAACTTTACGTAATGATTTTTCAAGTATCAATTTTCCAGACTTTTCAGAAGATTTATGCCAATAAGGATTTTCCCCAATATCGTGTAGGTAACGGCCCGGGATTTAAACCCCGATTAACTTGAGTGAATTGCAGGAACTTGTGAAGTTTGCGACTTATATTATTCGGCAATTTATAAAAATTACGGAGATTAATAAGAAAGTTTATATGGAAAGTTTGTTCTTCAAGAATACGAATGAGGCGCACGAGATCGAGTATGGATATGGGACTTTGAGAAAGTGAGTTTTTGCGATTTTAATCCGAAATAGATAGCGATGGTAATTTGGACGCTCGTTTAAATAGTTCGAATTAACCGACGAATTTTTCGGTGTGACAGTTACGCAAATTGCAATGTTTGCACCGACACGTATGCGAAATTTATTAACTAAATGTTGCGACTGATTTCGAGCCAAGTGACAAAATTTCATCGCTCTCATTTTGCTCTCACATTGATTTTAACAAAATATTACAGATTTATTTACCTACCTATTTTTTAATGTTTAATCAAACAGAAATGTTTGTACAGAGTGGCTCAAATTTTATCTGCAAATTGAATAGTCTCCTTAAAGCAACTTTGATTTTATCGAGAAATTAAAAAATGATGCACAATTATTATAAATTTCAATTTTTTTACTAACAGTTTTTGTTTTATTTATTTTGAAAGAGCGTTTAGCGTCGTTACCAATTTAAAAATGGTATTGAAATACATTGTACACTGTTTTCAGAATTTCAAAAAAATAAAATTGAAATGCCGGATTGAGTTTATAAAAGGAAAAAAAAAACTTTGTTTTTAAAAATATAAAAAATAAAATTGTGCTAATTGTAAAATTTTGAGTTATACAGTATGTCCCCGGATTAAGTTTATAAGAGGAAAAAAAATGTATCTTTGATTTTATGCCAAAACTGCAAAAGAAAAACATTTTTTGCTTTACCTGAAACGAATAAATCTGTAATTAAAACTTCATTATTCTAACTCAGTAGAAAGAAAAGTTTAACTTTGTCTTGATTTTGGACTTGACAATGATGTCACTTTGACAAATGAGTTTACGCACGTTAAATAACAAAAATGTTTATGAAAAACATAATTATAATAAATAGAAACTGAAAAAAAAACAGCTTTAAGATAAAAACCAAAGCCATTTTTAACAAGAACTATCATTATTTAATTAATTTAATTTATTTAATTGTCAAAATGGCATATAGTTGTCAGTTAAATAAAACCACCAATGTGATAGGACTTCAAAAGCAGTCGAAATTCAAGAGAAAAATTAACTTTTCTTTTCACTGAATCAGAATAATAAAGTTTTAAATACAGATTTTTTTCCTTAATCCGGGGACATACTGTATAACTTTCAAAATTTTACATTTAACGTAATTTATTTTTTATTTTTGTAAAAACCTTATTTATTATTAACTTTATTAGAAATAACTGAAATAAATGTAACTAGAAAGAGGTTGAACTCAAATTTCAGGTTGTTGCTCTGATTATCTATTTTAATTTTTTGAATTTTTTTTTGTAAAAACTGCAGAAGAGATTTTCCTGCAAAATTGTTTCTGGAGAATACGAGTCATGACAAAATTCTTACTGACGTGTTTTTCTTTGTTATTTCAGTAAAATGTAATTAAAAATAAGCCTAATTAATGTGTGTTGAGATACGTGATGAATATGCAAATTAGTTTGTGCGTCATGTGAAATCTAATCATTAGAGTAATTAAATTTTTGATTTAATATCGTTTTATGCAAGGAAAATGATAACGGTCTGATTTTTGTTTAATTAGGACTATAATTATTTTTTACTTTTACCTACTTGTTTTTTATAGTCGCAAAATATAAAGTCTTGTCCGTGAGTTTTTTCCTGTCTCAATTTTCATTTTTTTATTGAAAATATTCATGAGGCGTAACGAAACCCCTTGAAATAAATTCGCGGCGTTCGTTTTGTAAATGCTTTTCGGGCATTATCTTTTTAATGAAGGCGCTTTAAAAAATGCCATAAAATTAAAGGGCGTCTTCTCGAGGCTGGACCGAAGAGGAGGAGGACGAACTCCGTCGTTTATTCATGGAACACCAAACGAATCAAGTGCAAGACGGTACTCCTCATTCCCCTTTTCAAATATCACGATTGACGTCTCATTTACAGACATCGTCGATTGGATCGTTAATAATCTTATTGATAACACGCGAACTCGTCGCGCCGTGTTGAAAAAACTCAAAGATATGTCTCTCCTCGTCAATCCTGCGACCATGAGAAAATCTACACGTTGCGAGTGGGGCGACGAGGAAGAGATACAATTACGGGAATTGTTCAACGAATTCAGAGACGCCGCCGGTAAGATGGATGGTCAAGGGGGGTTTATTAACGTCCTAGATGGGAAATAATCCACTTACAGATCCGCTCGGATGCATAATGCTTAGATTAGAAGTGAAGAGGTCGAAGCAGATGCTTACGAAGAAGTTGCTAGATTTGGGGTTGATACGGGACAAAGCCGAAGTGAGGAAGAAGAGAGGGGGAGCGAAGAGGCCGACAGGTAATTAATTGCGCCATCTATGATCAATACAGCATTTTTTCTCTATTCCAAACAATTCCCGTTTTTATCACGTCTCTGTTCATTAACCCGTCTCGTAATCAACGTTTTATGAGTTTATTTATGCGAATACGGAAGTAATCCATCATTGCCGTTTTCACATATCACGCTGTTCATTAAATCATCTTAAGAAAAAACCTCGCAACTTTTCCGAGTGAAAAACATCTCTACTTCGGTCATTAAAGCCGAATAACATGTAATAAAAATCAGAGTGAGCAAATAAATAATACAGGAAAAAAATCCCTTGTTATTATCCTACAAAGGGTAAACTCCCCTAGCTACGAGTCGAGAGGTCTCCATGTTTGTTGGGGTTACACGACAAAAAAGAAATAATTGTGTCTCAGGATACCGTACATATTGCTTTTAAAAATGCATAAATCGTTTAAAAAAAATCGAAATTAATTTAAAACCCGTTGCGCATGAAAGGATACGTTTAAAATGGTCAACGAGGGAAAATTAATAATGACGGAAACAAAACGTCTAGTGAGGTTTCAACCGCACTTCCAATTATCCCCCCGTATAATTGGAAAGTGGCGTCGGTCGGTCAGCAAGGACAATGGTCTCGTGTTGTTCATCCTGGGGCACGCACACACCTTCCCCTAATTGATTGTGTCTGCCTTTCAGCTCCTAGTGCCATTCATCACCACGTGTGCGGTGACTAATGATACGCCCCGAAGGGACCAACGCTAAGAACGTCATCATAATGTAATTTGCGCCTTGTTAACTTCTTACTTGTTTTCCAACAGCCAGACGGGGAAATTGGTGAAAAACTCGTGGGCCGCATAAAAATTTGTCGCATTGCTTAAAAATACAGGGGTTTACGCAATCTAATTAATTTTATCTGTTTCGCAAAAACGGGAAAATTTGGTTGCGGTCTCGGGCTGTGGTTCGCACATCGTCCCACCGTAAAGTTTGGTCGCATCTAAAAAGTTTTGTGTAATTCTTATTTGTTTATTAGTTTGGTTTTTAGTTTCAGGCTGAGGTTTAGTCAGCAGAGCCACAAAAATTTCTTGCATTAAACAAGCAGAAACAGCAGTTCTCAAACAAATAATGTAATAGTACATTAAAAGCGAGGTGGTAAATATGGCATTACTCCGAGTGCTTACACGATCGAGAGGCCAGTCTCGAGATCGGACAAAACACAAGGGGTAATGCCATTACCACCGAGGTTTGTATGCTATTTTATTCACAATCACATTATTTTTCGTCAAAAATTTTAATAAAATACAATTCTAGCAAAGTTAAGGTTCAAACATGACATTTCAAAAATATCAAAAAAAATTGAAATAATGTGTGAAACTGATCATAAAATTGTTGAAATGGAGTAGTGCGCTCCCTCAGAAGTAAGAAAAACTGCTACAAAAGCAATTAAATACTAATGTAGCTAAATATTATACGTAACTTGATAATTTGAAAGAAACAATTCCCTGTATTTTTGCAATTTTGCAATTTTAACGTTGGCTATGCTGCATATTACCTTCCAAGAGAATTAATATTATTACTCTTCATGAGATGTAATGACTTGTTTCCGAACCTTTAAAAGGTTAGGAATCGGCATATTACATTGGTGATATTGAATAAAACGAATTATTTCCTTTAACAACGTAAATGATTGTTTTATATAGCGTATTAGTTATCTGCTATCGTGAATAACCTCTCATTTAAATTTCAACTTCAATTCCGTAAACACTCTGTATAAACAACGTTTTTCTCAAAATTAGTGGTGTTATGTTGAGGGATTCGCATCTTCTAAGCTACCTCTTGTGGTCATTCGCATATCTTCTAATCTACCTCTTGTGGTTATTTTGTCGTTTTAATTTATACGAGTTTGTTTTTTTTCCATCTTTTTGTCTACTGGCTTTGATCTTGCATTATTTCAACGATTGATTTTTATCACATTTTATTTTACAATATTTGTTTATTTAATTTTTCTGCGACCCCAACAGAAAGTAAGTTTTTCTACACTAATTTTAGAAAGGTCAATTACCGTCTTGGAAGGTAAAAATTTTCTTTCCTCATTTGTCAAAATTACAGGTTTAATGGCAAAACTGGGATATAAAGAGAAATTATTAGTTTTAAAGTTTTTCTTGCTGCTGCATTGGAGGAAAGTATCATTTCCTCCTTCGACAAGAATTAGACAGTAACTTCTACATGTGGGAGGAAAAGATACACTTTTCTTCTGTGTAATACAAATAATTATTATTTACTGTTGACAATTATCTACATCAATATTTTTTTTGTAGCTTAACTCCACTTTTTTATTTGTTTTTTTTTTAATTTATTTTTTATTGTTTATTTTTATCCAATAGACATTGACAAATGCAATAATTACTTCATTTTTAAGTTCTATTAAACTTTTTTCGTTACATTTTGTTTTTTGTTTTTATTTTTAGTTAAGCCATTTCTTTAATGATATCTGTTTCTTTATTATTCTTTATCATTTCTTCAATGTTTAAACTATTCTTTGATTTTTTATTGTCGGTTTCTTATTTATGTCCACATTATTTCTTTATTGTTTATTTTTATCCGATAGACATTGGCAAATGCAACAATTCCTTCCTTTTTAAGTTCTATTAAACTTTTTTAGTTACATTTTCGTTCTTTTAAATTTTGGTTAAGGCATTTCTTTAATGATTTCTGTTTGTTTATTATTCATCATCATTTCGTCAATGTTTAATCTATTCTTTGATTTTTTATTGTCGGTTTCTTATTTATGTCCACATTCTTACAGCGATTTTAAGTTTTAAGTTAACTAGAACATTGACAACGCTCGTTTATCATCAGAAATCGAAATTTAAGTAAATAAACGTGTTAGGTGTGGCCGCAACCTGAAATGTTGTTCTTGAAAATCGGTATTCAGCCGATTTATTGGCCCTTATTTCGGGTTTCATTAATCTTTACACATCGTTTACATAGCCGGGTGCCCCTTATTCAGGTTCTCTGCGGACACGCACAATACGCGATTCGCGGTCCCGAAGGGGACAAAAGATAAATGATTTCGGCGAAAGGCAATCTTGGCTTGTCATTGAATTAATCAGAACGTACTCTGGTTCTGACAATGCTGTGTACAGCTTCATTGCGAGTCCCCACCGGCAGCGGGGAACCCCTCGAGAAAAATCGAGACGTCCCCTTGCAGGCTTAAGTGGAAATAAATTACGTCGGGCCGACTCGGATGTGCGCGTTTTATGGAAACTTTTATGTTTGGACGTAATTTATACACATAAATTATTGACTCATGTTTAATTCGAATTAAATGGCATTTCCGGCGGATTTTAGTGAATAATGTTGCGTGACGTGTAAAAAATTCAGATTGAAATGTAGGGAATTTATCAGCCGTGGTCTGTTTTATTCAAACTTGAGACAAAGTCAAAGTAAATTAAGTGTTGGTAAATTTTACCCTCGGTCGCCGAATAATAAAATTAAGCAGCTGGATTTTTGGCATTATTACGAGTACGATTTTCAAAGGGGTTTGCATTATTAAAGATAAGATCAAACGAGGCTTTAATTAGTTTCGTTTCTTTCAATTCGGTGGTGATGTGGGAGTTTTCAAACTCGAAAACAGATTGCTGAAAAATCCGCTTTATACGTACAAATAGACGATGAAAGTTTCAAAGATCGATATAGTAGTAGAGAAGTTAATTTTTTACGATGGTCTTACGAACGAATTCTGAAAGAAGAAATACTTTCTTTAGTGGTGTTTCAGGAAATTTAAGATTAGTTAATCTCCATTCGGTCGATTCGAAGTTTTCACCTGAAAAGTCAGGCAAACGGAAGGCCATTATTTTATCACAGCTAATCTATGGATAGACCAGTGGAAAACAACAAATAAAAAAAAATTCAATATTAGATTCATTATTATTTTGTTGCGGACGCAACAGAGTAATTAAAAAATGTTCATTGATTTCTAAAAAAGATTACAGAAAATTGGAAAATAGAAAAATTAGAATGAAGATTTGGGATTTTTAATTATTTTAGATTTTTGGGTCAACACCAGGGGGCGTTAATTACCAGGGTGCAACTAATTTCAATTCTAGAAAAATTCTAGTAAATTTCACCGAAATTCCAATAATCGATCGAATTCCAACATAATTTGTGTAATTCCAAATTAATTCCTATAATTCTAAATTAATTCTAATAGTTTTAAAAAATTTAATGTAACAATTATAAATAATAATAACTCAAAAAAGAATTTCAGTAATCACAGATAATTCCAGTAATTTCAATAATCTATCGTAATTCCATTGTTTTTAGATTAATTACTATAATTACAAATTAAGTCTTGTAATTCCAAAGTATTTCCTCTAATTCTAAATTAGATTTTTCTACGTCTTTACGTTTATAATCTCATATTCATATGCAAAAAATTGAGTCCGGTCCTGGAATAATAGAACTTCTCACATATTTCAAAAGGATTTTAGTCAAATGCAAATTTTAGAACTTTTAGTAGAAAATAAAAAGATATATTATTATTCTATTATTATTCACAACGATAAAGTTTATAAAACGAGCAGAGCGCGAGTTTTATAATTATTTGAGTATACATACAGGGTGAATATAAAGTATGGAACCAAGCGGTTTTATTTTTAATCATTTGCCTCCAGAAAATAATAATTAATATAAATTAAAGTAATATAAAAAATGTGATCGTATTTTCAGAACGAAATTTTGTTTTGTTTTTGAGTTTTGCGATTTTTTTTTTGTCTAAATTGCAATTTATGTGAAAAAAATTTTTTGAAAAAATTAAAAATAAAGCAGATAGTTGTAATCCTTAAAGTATAGCTTTTATGAGAAAAATGATTTTATAGTGGGTTGCCATTGAAAAAAATATTTTTTTTTTGTAGAACTCAAAAACAAAAGGAAAATTCGAAAAATTTTATTCTTGTTAAATCATCACATTTTTATAGTACTTTATCACTCATCAATTAGTTTTTTCAAAAAATAAATAGTTTAAACAAAAATCGTATGGTTCCATATTTTTTATTCACCTGGTATAATGCCTACTACTATATGCGAGATGAAAACTATACTTTGTCTACTTTGAGACAGTTACGTAATGTTACATTTTTACGCTCTTAAGTTTCTTATTTTTATATGCTTACGGTTTCTGGTTAAAATATTTTCATTTTTCATTTTTTTTTTAGGTTTTTTTACTTGCGAGTTAATCTTAATTAAAATATGTTTCCTATGATTACATACTACCAAGACATTATTTAAGGGGCCATTAACTTGAAAAAATTTTTTTAAATATTTGCTCTAATTCCAAATTACTTCTATAAAATTTAACGAAATTTTCAACAGAAATTATCAAAAAAATAATAATTCAGCAGTTCCAGAAAAAAAATCAGTAGTTTACAAATAATTCCAGTAATTCCAAACAATGCCAACATAATTTTAATAATTCCAAATAATTCCAAGCAATTTCGATTAGATTCCTAAAAAATGTACAACTAATTCCAGAGTCAACGGCGCCTCGGTTCAAAATAATCGTTTTGTCATTTCGCCCGTCAGCCTTATTCGCTGTTTAACTTAAGTCCTTTATCGATTTTTGTTTGAAAGTCGTCCAACTCTTCCGTTTTCCATTTTTCTTCAGCAAAGTTCCGAATTGCATAATCCGGCGCTCGAGTCGCGTTTACAAATGAATCGTCGCAAGCTGTTTTTAATACTCGTTCTCCAAATGGCATTTTAAACTCGTAATTATCATACTTGTACTTCATTCAGTATTAAAAGAAAACGTGTGCAGCTGGTGTGGGGGCGGCGGGAGCGGCGTGCACGTTTCACTGCACACATCGAGGCTTGTATTTCGCACAATGAGGAATAATCACAGACGGCTCAGATAAACACTGGCTTTTGTTTGTGCATACCGCCGCCACGAAATTGAATTTCATTATTCATTTTAATATTGACATTTAGTATTTCGCGAAGACAATGGCGGGATTAAAAAGTTGACAGCGGTGTTGTTTCAATGAAACAGTCTTAATGATTTTGATTCGCTTCGGTGGCCAAAAATGGGTTATCAATTTGGGGTTTTTGTAGAGTCGAGGCGAGACAGCGATTCGGAAAGTAATGGATCAGAAGATGATGATGATGATGATGGTGGTGGTGGTGGAACTAGTCAAGTAGATAATTCCTCGACACAAAGAAACACAAATAAAACAAAAAGCAAGAAAAAGAAACATGTAACACGGGAAATAAATATGGCCTCAGATAGTCGGATTGCCACACTTTTAATAAAACTGGTCGATTCAGGTGAATGCAGCTAAAAAAATTGAAATCAAATTAAATTTGATTTAATATAGGGATGAGCGAAGCGCTAGAATGGCTCAAAGACAGTTTCTCTGACGCTATTGAAGATTTCGAAAATGATGACGGATGTGAAGGAATTCCATTGGTCCCAATAATGGATTATGCAGTTAATGCTATGGAAAATGCTGATTTTATTGAAACTCTCAAAGCTCTCGGCGTTGCTGAGCCTTTCGACGAACAGGTACGAGTGCTGCCATCTCTATTGGCATTACTATTGATTTTTCTTAACCACATGTTTTTTTTTTCTCCTTATTACAAAAATAAATCTTTTTTTTATTTATTTCAGTGAATTGCTAAATATTAGTTTTGTAGTCACCTATTATCAGTTAAACTTTCCGGTTTCGTGGTCACTTGGGCGGCGCTAGCTGTCACAGCCTCATAACATTTTACAGTTTCCTGTAATTTTTAAGTTTTGCAGGAAATGTATTGGAGAATCCCTGGGAACTTATCAGTCGATGTGATAAGAAAATATTTACATTTGTTACAACAAGCCATTGATAATACACTTACGGTTCCTGAATCACAACAAACTATTGAATCACAAGATACGGAAGATGGGGCTAAATCTCCGCATACTTCATTTGAAAATGAGAAAAAAATCAGAAAAAATAAGAAACAAAAACAGAAGAACAATAATAGCAATGTGGTAGAAACCGAACCATCTACTTCATTCAATAAGAAGAAAAAAATAAGAAAAATGGTAGACAGTGAAGATTCTTCTAATGACAACACACAAAATACTAAAGATGGAGCTGAGTCTTTATCAAGAAAAAAGAAAAAACTAAGAAATCTCGTCGACAGTGATGAGGAAGATAATGAAGAAAACATACAAATTAGTATTTCTTTTGAAAGAAATGTCATAGAGAGTGATGAAGAAGAAGACAATTCGACTGCGCCTTCACAAGTGAAGAAGAATGTTAGGAAAATTATCGACGAAGATGAAGATGAGGAAAATGATATTACTAAGCGAAACCGGATTGATTCTGATTCAGAGACGGAAAAGCCGGCGTCAAAGCGCACGAGGACTATTTCAAGTGATGAAGATTAGATAATAATTTTTTGTAGACATAATTTTATCATCAATAAATTTTTTGAAATGAATACATTTTTTGCCACTCCCCATCTTGCTTTGCCCGATTATTAACATATTTTTTAACTTAAAGTTCAATAAATCAATTACGAGTTATTTTTTTAAAGAATAAGACATAGTTTAAGACAATGTTCAAAATTTTGCAATGAATTAATCTACCAATATTTTTATCAGTTTACTTAATAGTGAGATAATTATTTACACACTAGTTTTGAACAGTACTAACGATGACGAAGTTACTTTTGCTTTTAATTCTGTTTTGTGCTTGTGATGCAATTTGCCCTAAAAAGAAAATTTTAGGTACAATTTGTATAAATAAAAGGCGTATTTTTAATACAAAATTTTAGACAAAACGTTAAGTCCCAGTCAACGCAAAGAAATCGTATGGATTCATAATAAATTGCGTCAACTTATCCGAAAAGGACAAATTAAAGAGCAGCCGAGAGCCATCAAAATGCATCGTTTGGTTTGTACACTTTTTAATTAAAAAACATTTTCTGGGTTGAAATTTGTAGAAATGGGACAACGGCTTGGCCAAACAGGCACAAAAAATCGCCAACACTTGTAAATTCAAACACGTGGAAGTGAAAGATGGTAAATAATAGTCATGCAATCGTGATAAAAAATTCGTACTTTTAGAGCGTTTTGGAGTTGGTCAAAATTTATATTTGTGGTCATCCACTGCACCGGAAAAAGGTTTCAATGGCACAGCTGCTGTATATTCCTGGTTTGGAGAATACAAATTATATAAATATCCTCATTACAAGAAGGAAAGTGGACACTACACTCAAGTCGTTTGGGCTGATACTAAATACGTAGGTTGTGGTTATACGTATTATAAAGCTAAAAAAGGGGAATTCAAGTACCACAAGTTGTTTGTTTGCAATTACGGACCTGCGTATGTTTTGGGTTTTTGGAGATGTAAAGTCTAATTTTTGATTTTTTAGCGGAAATGTTGTAGGAGAAGCTCCATATAAACGGTATAAGAGTAGGAGACGCGGTTCATTTTCACGTAATCGGATTTAAATTGGACGTTTGAGGTCACAAAATTGTCTAATTGAGTGATTTTGAATGAATATTAATTGTTTTGATACCGATGTTTGTAAAATGTTGAATAAATAATAATTTTTGTTTTTTTCTCATTTTTTTTTTCTCTTCCGGAGCATATTTAAACAAGGTAAGTGGCAAGGCAAATGTATTAAAGTGTAAAATATTAGATAAATTATTAATTATTTTTTGTGAAATATATTACTTGAGGCCATTTTTATAGCTTATATTATTTTCGGTGTTAGTTACCATTACTATTCCAAAAGACTGCATCAGAGTGTAAAAAATGTAACAATAAAGATGTAATAAAAATCTGGAGAACTACTTTAATCTCCCAAATTATCCCCAGCATGAAATTCAAAATTCAATCAGAAGTACCAACATATGATGACGCCATATTGTCGTGATTATTTGAAACTAGTTTCGTGTGCAATAAAAAACATCTACGTAGCAAAAATTCAAAAACTATAAAAAAAACTAGTCACGAATCTGATTTTTTTTATTTTTGGTTGTAAAAATTAATGATTTATTATTACAATATTATTACAAATAAGTCGGAACGGATTTTAATACGCAATTATATTTGTTTTAATTAATTTTTTTTCAGGTATGGCAATTTATTTATTTATTTTTTCTGTTATTCGACTTTTTTCGAAACATCGAAAAGTTTTTATTGCATGCAATAGATACAATACAATAAATTTGTTTTTTCGAAATCGTCAGTAAAGAGTTTAAAATCGGCACTAAAATAGTTTATTTATACTACGACTTTGTTTTTTGTGGGTGCCAAAAATAAACGGTTATGATTATACCCTGACCTTCAAAAATAGTTTTGCACAACTGTTGCGATTACGGAAAAAAAAATAATACGCATTTCGGCACTAAAGTCATTTTCTCATGTGTTTTTTCGTATGTTGTTTCAATTTTTTTTTATTCATATTTTAATATTGAACTCTTTTTTTTAATTTATAATAATGAATAATGATCTGCCTAAATGTATAGATACAAAATAGTAATATTTGTCCAATGGTTTGTTCAAAATAAAATAAAAAACATTTCGCTGCAAAGGAGTTTGTACAGAATTACTAAATTTTTACGAATATAGCTATCAAGTAATAGTGTTGACGAGTTTTAAAATGAGATTAATGTAAGAAAAATTCCTAAATTCTCCAATCTAGATTTTCCGCCTCGCAACTTAATGAATTATTATTAATTGAGTTATTATTTTTGATGTTAGGGCTGCTTTTTGAATTTCAACAATTAAATTTGAATTTAATTTTAAAATTTCAGGCTTTACTTTTAAATTGTTTGGTGGCAGCTTTGTTTTCTATAAATTTTGTAAAAGAATTTGGGAAACAATACATTATAATCCACAACTAATTTCTATTCATAATTAAATAAATACTTACTGTTGCACTTAAAAATCACAAATTCACACACTTCACTTTACGATAAACAACAAAACAGAAAGTACTAACCTTATATGGCATCTTCTTCTGTTACCCTTTGTAACAATTTGCCTCTACTTCTTAAACGGACCTACTGGAAATAAAAAAACACAAAATCAGTTTAATGTTTTATTAAATCAGATGAAAATAATAAGTTTAAGCCTTGTTGAGTCTAATTCGAAGAATAAAATGTTGTATTCAACTCGTCTTTGTTCATTTATTCCAACTCGTGGTTTAATAATCCTCTCGTGGAATAAAGCATCTGATATACACTCAAACTCGTCGAATAAATAACTATAAATGTGATTTTCCTAAAAAGTTAAAAGGTATTGTTGACTAACCCTTTAATCCGGATCCTTGTAGCACGATTGCCTCTTTTATTTCCCCCACTGACATTCACTAATAACTCGAAATTTTAAAAATTGTTTTTTTTTAAATGTCTCTTAGGCTCTCGAAAATACCCAACACGCACGCACTGATAATATAACCCTCATTACTACACAATTTTGCACTGAACCACAAAATAATAATTAATCTGGAAAAGTGATTCGTACGGGAGTTTGGCTAAGACTGACTTGTTATTGTAATATTTTTTTCAAAAATGGCACAAAAAACATTTTTTAACAGTTCCGGTGTAAAAGGCTTTTGTTCGGGGTTGCGTAATCTCGCCTATTCGCAACGTCACACAGTAATTCCATTATTACCTAATTCCACGTTATTATTTTTTGCGCCCTTTKCACTTGTTTATACAACAAAGGGATTTTAAATCATATCTCTTAATCCGTCAGACATGACGTCAAAATGTTTAAATCTGATTGGCTACGGGATAATGATGCGTCCAAACATGGACTTTTTTATAAGCAAAAGACCCTAAATATTTAATATGAATTTCAGAGGAAGTGAGTTTTTCGTTTTATTTTTAATTAATTTTTAACGTTAGTGTCTTATTTGTTTTATAGAGAATTATTTATGAAAATTAAAAATAATAATTGACATTTCTTTGGACTTGTCTTTTAAAGGTCATTGACACCGCTACCAACCTAATAAAAATATTCTCTAAAACGGGTTTTTCTACAAACGAGACGCAAAATTACAAATTGATTTTTAAATTTGTTGCATAATATTTGAAATTAAATTTATGGATGTGTTTAATTTTATTTTTGTCTGTTTTTGACAAAATACCTCATTTAATTTTTCTACAATGACGCGAAGTTGACTCGAGGCTGCACGTCATGGAAAAATCGCTCTACAGTTAATTTTGATTAAGAAAATCCTATAATTTTAAGAAAAATGAATGACTGACACGTAGTGTTTACTTTGTCATATCATAATTGCAACAATTTATTTATTTACAATTTCTCAATGAAAAAACCCTTTGGGTTAAATGAGTCAATCATCAACCCAAACCACGTTCACACCTCAATAACAATTTCTGTTATCAAATCATTCTAATGTATTTTTACACTGCTGGAATATAATGACACTCGTCCTTGCATAACATTATTATTATAAACGAATGTTTTTTTACGATAAAACACACTTTCCTGCAAGCCAGCAGGATGGTATCATTCTATGGTGTTACTTCTGATTTGAGAAGGAAATACGTCATAACCGAAGTGGGAATCGTGCAGTTAATAAATTTTTATTGAATTGTTTCGAAAGTGATTCCTAAGAAAAAAATTTACAGCTGCGATATAAAGAACGGATTTTAAATGCTTGCAATTAGTAGATCGCAGACTCGAAATGGTGAATATTGTAGTGATTTTGAGTGTCGTTCTTTGTGTTAGCGTTGCTGTAGCTAATGCTAGTTCATGTGGACGACTTTTTGGTAAGTTATTTTATAAAAAAATCTTTGTTATTTTTGTTTTTCATAGAAAACAAGGTCAGTGAAAATGACAAGAAAATTATTGTCAATAAACACAATCAGTTGCGAGGCTTGATTGCACAAGGAAAAGTTCCCGGACAGCCGAAAGCAAAGAATTTGAAAAATCTAGTAAGAAGTTAGGGAATTTTGGGGAAAAATTAATGAATGTTTTGCAGAAATGGGACGACAAGTTGGCCCAACAGGCCCAAAAAATCGCAAATTTGTGTGAATTCAAACATAAAAAAGTGAACGATTGTGAGTTGGCGTTTGTAATCCCGATTTTTGTTTTAATTTTTCAAATTTTAGCCCGTTTTTATGTCGGCCAAAACTTGGGTTGGACGGGTTCGACTGCCAGTTCTCGGCAAACCGACTGGAATGGGATCATCCAGAAATGGTTCAACGAGCATAAAGACTTCAAATATCCAACCACTTCCAAAGGGGTGACCGGACATTACACCCAAGTATTTTTCCAAAAGAAATTTCTTTGTGTTAATTTTCTTTGTTTAAGGTTGTTTGGGCTGACACCCAGCTCGTCGGATGTGGCTACACATTTTACCGTAAGAATTCCTGGTATGAGAAATTATATGTTTGTAATTACGGTCCTGGGTGAGTTTTGCACGTTTTCTTGATTATTCAATTAATTTTTTTTTGTTTCAGAGGTAATTACATTGGAGAAGCTCCCTACAAGATATAACCTCGAACAATATGCTATCATATTCCATTATTTCATGATTGTTACTTGTCACGCATCTTTAATTTAAATAAATGATACACTTTTTAATCCCTTGTGTTGTTATTCCTGCTAGCAAATTTTGTTTTGAAGGAGCTTTGGAGGTCGCTTCTTTGCATATGACATAATTTACAATTTTTTATCTCTGCAAAATCGCCTAAAACCATCGTTGACTATTTTATTATTAGCAAAAACAAATTACGCTTCCTTGTTGTTATTCACGTGTAATTACCGTTAACGTGAGTTATCATGAATAAAAAGTTTTAATTGAATATATTTTTTAATTGATATTGCAATCACTACTATTACTACATTTTTATTGTCTTTAAACGTGTTTATGAGTTGAGCTGAAAATCATTAGCACACATTTTGCAACAGAAAAGAATGATTAAAATTACAATCGGAAAAATAACACAATCAATTTCAAATAATTTAAATATGAGTGGTCATTAAAACAGCTATTTATTGTTGGTTTTACGCTTAATTATAGGCACATGAAAACAATTTTTTATTACAAAGTTTTATTTCAAAGATATCTTCATAACACATTCACTTTTAATAATTTATTGTCTGTTTTCAACTTGTTTTTTATTTTTATGGCACTGTGGCGTGAATACTGTTATTAGGTATCAATTAAAAAAAATAAAAATATCTGCCTAATTGTTATTATTCAAATTTTACACTAATTGCATGGGAAACAATAAGGAAGTAATAATTAATTCGATGGGTAGCTGGTATTGTGTAATAAATAATAATGCAAACAAGTTTTTTCTTATGTTATTTGTTTAGATTTTAAAGATTTTCAAAAAAAATTAAATGAGATTTATGAATCACATTTTATAGTTTGAATTATGCTTATCTAAATTCATTGAATCACTTAGATCGAATTTAGTTGTCGCGGTTTATAGTCTTATTATTTATTTACACACCTTAATTGTGAAAGAAAAGATTTTTACGTTATTTGTTTATTATTAATTTACAACGGGCTTTACACAAATCTCTTTATTTTAGTTCACTTTTAATATAAAAACCGTTTAAATGAGCCAAGCAGAAATAAAATTCCACTCAATTAAAACGCATCAAGATGGTTAATTTTGCATTGATTTTTATTTTTTCTCTAACAGTTGTTGGTTTGAGGGCCAACATTTGTGGCGAAGTTTTCGGTATGTTGTTTACACTTTTAATTTTTTTAATAAGTTAGGTTAATTTTCAGAAAGAGGGGTAGTAGATGATGAAATAAAGCAACAAATTGTGAACAAACACAACGAGTTGCACTCTCTTGTTGTGTCAGGACTAGTGCCAGGCCAGCCTAAAGGGAAAAATCTGAAAACTTTGGTAAGTCAAAGCACGAAGTGAAATTCTCATTTTTAATTTTTCTCAAGGGCTGGGATGATCGATTAGCGGCCTCGGCACAAGAAGCGGCCAACAGTTGTGTTGTAAATTTTCAGGAAGTTCATGACGGTAGCACAAATTGCTGTAAAAATTATTGTTTATTGAATATTTTCTGCTCGTTTTAACAAAGTTGGTCAGAATATTATAGGTTGGCGTAGTACTGGGAAGAAAGATGGACCCGATTTTCTGCCCATGATTGAATCTTGGTTCAGTCAATATTCCAGAGTAACATATCCGAACACCCTAACTGGAGGTTTTTACGGTCAAGTGAGTATTTATTAACATTTTTTTTCGTTTGCAAGTAAAAATTTTAGATTGTTTGGAACGAAACTCAATACATCGGTTGTGGGTATATTCACTTCCGGAAAACACCCAAGGATTGGTATGAGAAAATCTACTTTTGCCATTACGGACCTGGGTAAAACATATATATTTCTATTTTATTGTGGACGAAATTGAATGTTTTTATTATTAGGGGCAACATTCCTTACGTTCCCCCGTACGAGAAAGCATAAGCACCGATTTTCTTGATATTATTGTAAAATATTCATTGTCACAAATAAAACAGTTTAAAAATCATATGTTGTTTCTTGAGATCAGTCCTACAAATAATAACTTAGATGTCACCTCTCTAGCCAGTTCTAAGATGTATCACCGGAAGAATTTGTCGCTTGTATACAGACCATCCTCAATGGAAAGCCGTTCAAATAAGTCTTCAAACGAAAAAAAAAATGAATTTTTAAGATAAACAGTAAACAAATTAGTATTTTTACAATTGAATGTTGTTCCTGAATTAAATCAGTACCTGACACACACAGTAACACAGTTTTCATCTCATTTTGAGTATTTGTGACGGATTGCAAACTTCAATAGTTTTAATTTTTTTATGAAAAAACATATAAAACAAATTGCATGAAAAAATACAGTAACATAAGTAGGTAATATACAATATGCCAAAAATAAATCAAAAAATTCTTTCGTACAGTTTTTTTATAAAAAAATAAAATGGTCGAAAATAGAGGTTTTTTAAATTTATTTTTAAACATGGACAAAATATTTTAAATTAATATTAAGGGTGTCAGAAGTCGCGTTCTCTGGACTTTCAAGTAAGATAAGATACCAGATACATGTAAAAAATTTTGACATATATTTTTTACCATTTGACATTTTTTTATGTTTATTTAATGATACTGATGACCTTGTATACGTTTTTTTTATAATTATTTAGAACAGATACATAAATTTTGCGAATAAAAGCCACAAATAAACAATTACAATTTAGGATACTGCTTCCTTTTGTCCTCTTTTATAGCCTGTAGTAAAAAACTTGGAAAATTATTTTTCCGACAGAAATAGAGTCAAAGTGCAACATTTAAGTTCTTATAATTTCGAAACTTTTATAGATAGAATTTTTTTAACTTTTTTTCCATGTTCCTGTTATCGTACCTTACATGTCATTTTTCTCTGGGGTGCGAGTTTTGACGCACCTTATATCTGCACCTCAGAGCAAAACAGTATTAACCACCAAAACAGAAATTTTTCTGGAGAACGCTTTTAGCACTAAAATTTTGTTTGGGTGTCTGTTATATTCATAATAAATAATTAAATATTTAAAAACAGGAAAAACTGGAGTTTATACTATTTTACTCTGTCGTATAGATATAATATTGCTGCTAAGACCATGATATTTTTTTTCAGAATTTTTTTTACGATTTATTTTTTTATTCAGTATTTAAAAATACTAAATATAATACACACAAGTCTGCAGCTATCTGCCAGCTGAAATTGAGCAAATTTCAGTGGTTGAGTCAGCTCGACTGAAGATGGCGGGAGCGCTCCTGAAAATCTTTCAGTCGAATTAAATGAATAAATAATTGAAACGACAATTTAGTGTAAGGGAGACGGTTGAAAAAATGAAATTGATATTCCATTTGAAATAACAATTTATTTGTACTTGAAACATAAGATTGGTGAAATAAATAATTTTTCTATTTATTTAACTAAATTGTACTTGTAATTGTTAACCCACATATGTGTAATATTCGTAGAGGAAATTGTTGTCGTAATGGTGATTGTCATCGTGACTGCCTAATTTATCTGCAAAAAGAAATTAAAATTTTTGTGTATCTAAAAATGATAATTACCACAAAGACCAGGATAGGTTCTGGATTCAATTAATCCGTGACTGCTACAACTCGGATAACCTTTCTCATACGGCACCTCACCTTGTACATTTCCGCTATTAGACACAAATGAATCGTTTGATAATTTATTATCGACATAACTCACCTAGGACCGTAATTACAGACATATTTTTTCGTGTACCTTTTCCCATCCAAATAATAAACAAAACCGCAACCAACACTCACGCTTTCCGCCCAAACCATCTGAAAATAAAAAAGGTTCGTGTAATTTCTAAGCCGGAGATAAAGAAAGATTGAAAGTTGATTTAAAACCGTATTTCTGCTTTTATAAAAGATGGAACATCTTTTGTTTCAATAATATTTTAGCAATAAAACTGAGACAGTCCGAAAAGGAATTCGATATTTTCTCCAACAATGAAAGTCCCAGCGGATGAGAGATGGCATTATTGGAAAATAAGCACTCACGTTGAAATGTTTGCCTTGCAGAGGCAGCGATACATTCGCCAAAACCATCAAAATTATTTAAATTTTTCGATTTAATGAAGACATTAATGTATTATGGTAATGTTATTGGACATTTCACCTGTGTATAATGACCCGTCTTTCCACCTCTGAATCCATTAAAATTATAAAACCTATTCTCCTCGAACCATTTCGAAATAGCGTCCCCGATCCAATCCGCTTGCGACTCGTAATAGTTTACAGGGGCTCTTGTTGACCATTTTGTGGCGATGTTTTGGCCGACATAATGGTGACCTCGGTGCCGGTTGGGGTCGTGCACGTACGAAGAACATTGCATGGCCCATTGTTGAGCTTTAGCGGCCAGTTCCTCGCTCCAAATCTATGAAAAAATTGCAGGAATTTATACCTTGAAGGGTTGTTTATACCATTTTTGCCATGTTTTGAGCCGGGGGTTGGTTGGCGATTTGCCCCAAAGCCACCACTTGGCGAGCGCGGTTGTGGGCATCGAGTATGATGGTTTTGTCGTATTGGGTGATTCCCGCATCTGTAAAACAAAAAAACTGTATCGATTTTTGAAAGTTTATATTCAAAAAATGAAGACAAATTCATAAAAAACGCCTAGTTTTCGAAATCTTATTTATTGTTTTTTGGGATTGTAGATAACTGGAATTATTAATTTATTGTTATTACAAGATTAAATAGAAATATTTTATTTCACAATTTTTATGTTTTTTTATTTATAAAAAACAAATTCGTAATTCAGCTCTACTGTTTTATTACTTTGTTATTAAACATGATTGTGAAATATAATTAAGTAAATATTTTTTCAAATTTGTGTAAAATCTAAAGTAATTGGTTTTTATACATTATTATAATTCTTACAATTTTTACAACAATCCTTACGTTAATTCATTCATAGTTTTTTTAGCGAATGCTATATTTGCCAGTGAATATTTCGAAAACTATTTCATATACAATTTTTTAGAAACATTTTTCTTCTTAACGCTAACCGTCTTAGTGCCCCTTTGAATCTCGCTTTTTTCGAAAGACAAAAATGATTCCTGACCATGCCTAACTATTTCGAGTTCATTCGCACACATTTATCTCGTAATCCTCTTTAATAATTCACTTTTATTATATATTGATTTGCAAACACTCTAGTAAATCAATCACATTAGACCGAGTTTTATAACGTATTTTTTTTAAGATTTTTACAATATTTTTTTTATTAATTTGCGATTAGATTTTTAATGTTGTTTATGTTTTTTTGTATAAAAGGAATTGTTTTCAATGAGAGTAAACAGAAATATTTTTTGTCATTTAATTCAGTTGAAAATGGCTAATTTTGCTTTAATTGTTTTCGCAATCTTTGCCTCACCCATCGTGAGAGCTGATGATTGTGGTCAAATTTTTGGTAAGTGTTACATTCAAACCTAAAGTTTTTCAGCAATGAAAAAATTTCAGTGAAGGGTTTAACTAATGAAGAAAAACAGTTGATTGTCAATAAACACAATGAGATTCGATCTTGGATTATGCAAGGCACAGTACCAGGTCAGCCAAAAGGCAAAAATTTAAATATTGTTGTAAGTAGGAGAATTTGTAGATTTTTAGATTTTTTTGCTTTTTTTAATTTAAGGAGTGGGATGATTACTTGGCTTCTGAGGCTCAAAAAATTAGTGAAACGTGCGCTATGAAACATCTTCCTGTGAAAGATGGTAACAGTGTTTTCTCTAATTATTTTTTTCTGTTATAAATGATTGCAGATCGATTTTATGTTGGCCAAAATATAGCAGCTTGGAGTAGTACTGCTTCAAATAATGATTCTAATCTGGAAGCCCTTATTATGATGTGGTATAACGAATATCCAAAATTTATTTATCCAAATCTTTCTAGTGATTCTGGACATTACACTCAAGTGGGTTTTTTAGTTTACTTTTCTACTTTTTAATTAAAATTTTAGGTAATTTGGGATAAAACTCAGTATATTGGTTGTGGATACACATACTATCGAAAAAGTGTAAACGATTGGTATGACAAACTTTTTGTGTGCAATTACGGTCCTGGGTAAATAATTCTAGCAAAATGATAACATTTATTACTTTTTTGGGTTTCAGAGGGAATATTGTGGGAGTAGCTCCCTACGAGAAAGCATGAATAGACTGGACTTGGGGTTTGTTATGTTGTACAGTTATAAACTTTACAAAATGAAAATAAATAAATACATATTACGAATATATATACAATTACTTTTGTGTTTTTTTTTAAAACTATTTTTTTGTTGAAATTGATATTTTATAAAGAGTTTTGTACCATGCAGGAAAATATAAGGCAAAAGTCATGTTATCCAAGTGTTAGCTAGTACTTTGCTTAAATTAGCAGAATTTGATACTTTTTTATTTCTAAGTAATGAAATGTATATCTATGAATTTATTATAGTTTTTAATATAATCTTTTTTAATTACTTTAATTACTTGCTTAATTTTTGTCGGTGTCCTAGAAAAAACAAATCAAAATATATTTTAAGTATGTTTTATTTAAAAAAAACGCGAATATAAACCATTAAATATTATTAACTACTAGTGATCTAATCACAGACCAATAGCGAAGTAACTATTAGTCCAACGAATGTGTTTAGATAACTACTTTTACTATTTTATCATTTCGCGAAAATATCTTTTTCATATGGTTTTTATTAATAACGACAGCAAGCAATGAAAAAATTGTCTTCATTGTAAATAATGCTTTAGGTATACAGGGAGCGGCCAAATTATGGCATGATATTATTTATTAAAACTGAAAATATTTTGTCTGGACAAAAATGCTCGAACAGGCTAATTTTCTTCTTAAAAATACAAAATTCTCAACTTTATTTAAAACTGTATGTTTGTTTTTTGTTGATATTATTCCACTTTTTTGGTATTTTTTTTTTGAAAAACTATGTCTTATTTAATATTTTGGGGTTGTCGTTTTGACAATTAAAAGATTTATCGAATTGGCTAAAAATTAGGGGATTTTATTTAAAAAAATGTCGATAACGTCATTACCCAAAAACCAAAAAGTGTAAAATCAAGTTGAAAATTGTGTATTTTTTAAAAAGAACTGTTCGAGCATGTTTGCTAAAACAAAATATTTTCAGTTTTAATAAGATTATTCCATAATTTTGCCGCTCACTGTATATTTTTTATTCACAATTAACACAATATAAAAGTCAGGTATAACGTATTGTGACGTTAATACTTATAATTACCCACAACATACGAGTGTTTTATGCATAATGAAGCGTTAGAGTAAAAGTAATAGAATTTGTTCAGTTATTTATTAATATTAGTATAAACGAATTCACATCAAATCAAGTGACTAAATCACGAATGCGACATGCAGTTTATTTAAAATAAACTTCTAAGTTTCGCTGAGCTTTCACACAATTATTCGTAAATTATGATAATTTTGGTTTCAAACAAGAGTTGATTGTGGATAAAATTTATGTTTTTATCTCGTTTTAACCGTTTAAGAAAATTAAATGCTTTATTTGTTTCGCTTTTAAACTTTCTTGCGTGGATAAAACACCTCCTACAACATTAATAACTAATAATTGCTGATTACTGTAAAAATAATATTCACAGACATTTTCACATTTTGTAGAATAATAAATATATTACATAAACAAATATATTAAATAAATATGATTTTGGAAAACTGGTTTTGCGCTGCTCTCTGGTAGAAATTAACCATCAACATTTTTAGCTTCTCTCTATATTCGGGGTCATTATCTTCTTATCAGTCGACGTAGATTTCATTCATTTTTCCTCATTGTTGTACCTAATTGTATACCTCGTAATCCCCCTAATCTTTATTATATTTTGAATTAAACCCTTAAAATAAATTAATCATATTATTTAGATCGAATTTTAAGGACGTAATTTGTATTGTTGTTTATTTATTTACGTCTGTTATTCGTAAAAAAGATTTATCTTTTATTTATTATTACTTTACGACTAGATTTGTGCAAATCCCTAAAAATCTTTTGTCTTATTTTTGTATATAAAGTCTTGTTTTAATAAAACTGAACAGAAACAAAATAATTTCTGTCATTTAATCCAGATCAAAATGGTTACTTTTGCTTTAATTGTCTTTGCAATTTTTGCTGTAACCATCGCTAGAGCTGATGATTGTGGTCAAATTTTTGGTAAGTGTAAACATACAAACTATAGATTTTTTAACAATAAGTAAATTTTAGTAAAGGGTTTAACCAATGAAGAAAAACAGTTGATTGTTAATAAACACAATGAAATTCGATCTTGGGTTGTGCAAGGTAAAGTGCCGGGACAACCAAAGGGCAAAAACATCAACGTTATAGTAAGTGGGAGAACTTTTTGAAATACTTTTTACTAACTATTTCAAGGGTTGGGATGACTATTTGGCTTCTGAGGCTCAAAAAATTAGTGAAACCTGCGTTATGAAACATCTCCCTGTGAAAGATGGTAACAGTGTTTTCCTTAATTACTTTTTTTCTGTTATAAATGATTGCAGATCGATTTTATGTTGGCCAAAATTTAGCAGCTTTGAGTGGTACTGCTCCAAATAATAGTTCTCCTCTGGAACTCTTTATTATGATGTGGTATAATGAATATCCAAAATTTATTTATCCAAATTTTTCTGGCGCTGGACATTACACTCAAGTGGGTTTTTTAGTTTACTTTTCTTCTTTTCATTTCAAATTTTAGGTAATTTGGGATAAAACTCAGTACGTTGGTTGTGGATACACATACTATCGAAAAAGTGTAAACGATTGGTATGACAAACTTTTTGTGTGCAATTACGGTCCTGGGTAAATAACTCTTAGCAAATTGATAACGTTTATTCCTTTTTTGGGTTTCAGGGGGAATATTGTGGGAGTAGCTCCCTACGAAAAAGCATAAATTAACTGAATTATTTTTATTTGTTATGTTACGAGTACAAAATTATAAAATAAAATAAAACTTTAAGTATGATGTTTGTGTTTATTCTTCTAAAACGTCATTATTTGGGGGGGGGGGGACACGGGGTCATCATCTTTTTATCAATCACTTTAGGTATCGTTATTTCTTTCTTATCATTATTATATCTGATTGTTTTTTATTATGTTTTTAATTGTAAACTCTTAAATAAATGAACCATAATAAATCGAATTTTGTCAATATAGTCGTTATAATTGGCTTTTGTTTTATTCTTGCATAAAAGGATTTACTTTGATGAAAGTAAGCAGAAACAATTTTTTCTCATACATATAATACTGATCAAAATGGTTACCTTTTCTTTAATTATCAGCCTTATAGTGTGTTTCTTAACTATCACTAGAGCTGATGATTGTGGCGAAATTTTTGGTAAGTGTTTGCATCCAAATTTTAAATTTCTCAACAATAATAACAGCAAAGGGTTTAACTGACGAAGAAAAACAGTTGATTGTTAATAAACACAATGAGATTCGATCTTGGATTGTGCAAGGCAAAGTACCAGATCAACCAAAAGGCAAAAACCTCTATATTATCGTAAGTAAGAATTTTTTGAATTATCTTTCATTCATTTTTTCAAGGGATGGGACGATGATCTGGCTTCTGAGGCCCAAAAAATTAGTGAAAGTTGCGTAGAAAAACACGTTCCTGTAAAAGATGGTAAACGTGTTTTACTTAATTATTTTTTTTATTGTCAGTGATTTTAGATCGGTTTTCTGTTGGTCAAAATTTAGCATCTCATTGGAATAGTAATGGTCCAAACAATGATTCCTACGCAGAACGCTTTTTTATGAATTGGTATGAAGAATACGCAAAATTCAATTATCCAAAATTTTCTATTGATTCTGGACATTATACTCAAGTGAGTTTTTCACTTTGCTTTTATTTTTTCATTTAGGATTTTAGGTAATTTGGGACAAAACGCAATATGTTGGTTGCGGATACACTTATTATCGAAAAAACCCAAAGGATCCGTTTCGCAAATTTCTAGTGTGCAATTATGGTCCTGGGTAAATGATTTCAACCAAATTTATAAGATTTTGTAATTGTTTCGATTTTAGGGGCAATGTTTTGGGAGTACCTCCATATGAAAAAGCGTGAATAGTCAACTACACCATTTTTTGTTGTGTTGTACAACTTTGCAAAATTAAGTAAAGAATTTAAAAAAATGTGTTTGTTACTCAGCTCCAATAATCAAAACTAAACGACATTAAAATTATATTTTATTATCATATTTTTTTCTGCTCAAGTCCGGTTCAACGCAGGAGTCAGCGAACGCAAGTAGTATTAAACTGTGAAATTTACATCCAGTTGTTGGGTAGCACATCCTGTATATAGTTATCAATAAAATTAAATTAAATATTTGAGTGAGAAATTCCAACCTAAAAGAATTTTAAAGTAAAAACTTCAATGTTGTTGTTAGTATTTTTTCAATTTCAAACCAAATCTAACCTTGGTCAAGATGTGTGTTTTTTAATTAAAATAAACTATTGTCACATGAAAAATTAACGTTGATTTTATTTTATGCTTTTAAAAAACAAATATGTAATTCGTTCTAAATCTACTTTTTAATTTTCGATTATTTTATTACAAAAATATCGGATAGAAGTAATAGCAAATAATTAATGCCTAAGCAAGCGTAGCGCTTTTTAGTTGGTTTGATTTTAAATATTTTAATAGATAAATAAAAAAAAGGATCAAGGGAAATTATATTTCTTGGTTTTATTTGTTGAATCGCCTGGCCTCATTCTTTCTTATGTTTATTATATTTGCTTTGTTATTCTTCCAATCATATATTTTTATTACATACCTTTACAGGGGTAATCGAATGTTGGCAACACATTTCTTAATAATTTATTACTTTTAAAGCAATTAATATTTTACTGACAGGAGCTACAAGTAAAATTGTGTTTTTTGCAAATCCGGTTCTAAGCAGGATTCCTGCCGCTCATTTTCTCTCGAGTGGTAATAAAGTGATGTCATTTAAATCCAGCTTGAAAATACCAAAAGTCATTGTATTTCCTCGCGTTTTTGCTTGATTTATTGTCAGTGTTTGCGTCTTATTTGTGTAAGAATCTTCGTCGACAGAAATATCTCCGGCAGCTATGTGTCTGTTATTCAACTCTGGTGCGTCGCTTTGATATGCAAATACCTCGGTTGTTCTTCCTCGGGTCAATAGTGGCATAGGTGTCAGGTCTTCGTCGACAAATCGTTAAATAGCGCGATAATTTGTTGATTTACTGACATCTTAATTCGGTCATAATGAATCTATCAATCATGCAAATAAAAGACATTTCAAGAAACCTCAACGCATCATTAATTTTCATCATGACAGTCTGGTATTTAACTTAATAGTCTATTAAATTGTTGGCTAATTTAACACGCCGCTGCTGATGGACTCATCATAAGCTAATTCGAAAAATACTTACGTAAAAGCGTCCTTCCGCCACAGGACAATGCCGTTGATAACGAATCGATGATAACGACCAGAAGGAAGCCCAATTTGCTCATTTTCGGTCTACTCTGGAAAAATTGCGAATTAGTGAATTATTAAAGCACTACAATTGCAATACACAATGCACTACAATTTACAAACTACCAAACAAACACGCTGCAAAATTGGTTTCAGAATTAATTTAACTGGGAACTAAAGTGAAACTTCCGAACGCATTTAATTTTATGTAGCATTCCACCTTCTATCTAATTTTTTTACTATTTTTATACTTATAGGGTAATTTGAAACAGAACGAAGTCCAGCTTAATTATTCAATTTTCAAAACTTGTCCGGATGTCAATACAAAATTGAAGCATTTTGTTTCTTTTTGCATATTTTTAGAAATTTTTTCATTTATAGCTCCCTGAATGTGTTACACAAAAACTAAGACATCTAGAAATATATTTTTTTACTATCGCAAAGAAGAAGGTACAAGATATAATGTTGTAACATTTTTTAGTGTGTTGCATTTGCAAAGATAAAAAATGAAGGCGTTTGTTAAAAGTTCAATAACTTAAAGAAATTAAATGGAACACTCTATTTATTGTGTTCGCATTTCAAAGATGATTAAATTGTCTTTCTAAAATTATTTACTTTTAGGTGTAATCAATAACTGAAAAGATATTTAACGTTAAACATAAAAAATACTATTGTTTCAGTAGTCAAAAAGTGCACAGTTGCACAAGAGATGGAAGAAATATTACTTAATAATCACATTTGTGTTAAACTGAATCCATTATTATTTATTTTTACAATAAAGTAATTTGAATTTCAGTCTTTATAACGACTTTTACAATATCTGGGTAAATCAACAGATAAGTGATCCGTGGTGGAATTATTATGGTTGCCATAGTATCAACAATGCTCAAATATTGATAGGCATTATTGTTGCTACAATTAATATTGAATGTTAAATATCTTTTCATTTATCAACTCTAGACATTAAAAGTGTATTTTTTAAATAGACAACTTATCAATCTTTTAGATGCAAAAATAAAAAATAGAGTGTTCTATTTAATTTTTTTAAGTTTAAGTTTAAGTTATTTAACTTTTAACAAACATCTTTATTTTTTAATCTTTACAAATGCAAAACACTAAAAAATTGCTACAGCTTTAAATTCTTTACAGAAGGAAGAAAAAATTTGTTCTAGCTATCTTAGTTTTTGTGTAATAAAGTATTAAAAAGTGCATGTTTTCGTCAAAAAAAGTCTTATTTCTAAAACAAGGCGAAATCGACTAATAAAAGTTTAGCGTAAAAACATTGTTTTAAAAGGCTACAGCCAAAAATGCCAATAAATATACGGTGTTTTATTTAAAAAACACAAGTTTGTATGTTTGTAACTTATTTTTGGGACATGGTGTATGTTTGAAAATAATTTTAGGTGATGCACTAGATTAATGTCTATCGATTTCCTATACAATTTTTCTTAAATTTTACCATTTAAAGGTTACTAATGGACTTTTTCAACTCGCTGGGACACTCTGTGTATTAGATTTCTTGCTAAAAATTCATTTCGTTTTGACGAGTATCCATCTGAGGTGCCCACATCATATTGCTGCATAATGCATTAATGACACATATTACACCGAATGGAGGTGGTTGTACGTGTTTCATAGGCAAAAATAAACCTTATGAATTGAATAGAGTAATGAAAAGCTGGAATTATATCGAGAAGCATGGAACTATTTGAAATCCAGACTTTATGAGTCCTAAAGTCAATATTCCAGACACGAATCTCTCTCTTAACCATGTTACGTTGTGAAAATTGAATCCAGTAACGATAGCATCGTTGGAGAGAGCAGCTCATTTTAGGAAACTGCCAGCCTGCTGAGATGCACAGACGCCCCGTCGACTGCGGACGAATATTGCAAACTAAACAACCAAACGGAATCACATAAATTATTTATTACAGGGTGTGTATCGCACATAAACATCGAACGATTTGGGTACAGAGATGAATATACGTTTTCCATCAAAAATTTATTCCAAAAGAAATAAACTTCGCAAACGACGATTTAAATACAAAATTCGGTCGTAGCGATGAAAACGCGATGGCCTACGAGTGATTTATGATACAAAATTAGAACATTGCGATCTAGGAGTTGTCGCACTAAAAAGTATTGAACGAAAGTGTACTTAAAACTGTTTGTAATTGTAGAGTTACAAAGTAGATACTTTTTTACTTTGGAAAAATGCAAAAATCATTTGTCATATATGGAAAATTTGGTTGAAAAAAAGAAAAACTTGTAATAGATTGGTAAATAAATAATTAACTGATTTAAACCATTTAAACTTTTACAACTCTAGAAGTAATACTAATAATGTGTTAGAAAGCAAGTTTACTTTATACCAAATTTATTTCAAATATGAAAATTTGAAATGCAAAAATTCATTTTTTCAATTTTGATATACAGGGTTATTCATAAATATGAAGCAATATTTAAACCTCAAAAATGACCTATAAAATGATGTTAATTTTTATAATAACGCGTGTCCGATCTCTATTGATAAGAATTTTACAGCCCTCGGAATGTGGGTATGGAAATTTGTTTTTTTTTGTAATAACTTTGGAACCATTTGACCAAGTATTATATAATTTAGAATAGTTACTTGCGAGAACATAGCCTTTAGACTAGTAGTTACGAAAACCGGATGCATTTACTCAATTTCCGGTTTCAGCAGTTGCAGGTCACATTTTCTGTGTTTTTTCGTTTTTTTTTGGTCTCTTAACACTATTTTTTTATTGATTAAATCTAAAGAGTAATCAATTTTGAATAAAAAACGCATAACCTTTTATACCACTAAAATGGACCGTTTTAAAGATATTTTAATTTAAAGTGAGAACTGCACAACGCTGAGAATGAAAAATATGAATTTTGAATAAGCGGTATCCACGGCAACCAAAGACCATGGTCACATAAATCCTCTGTTAACTTTGACGATAAATTTTTGTGATTTTTTTATGAATTAATTGCTACGAGATCTATTTAGATTTATTCTAAGTTACGTTTGGAGTTTGAGGTAAACTCTTTTATTAAATATTTTCGATTACTCGTCTAATAATCGTCCAATCTCAAGTTGACAGATGCCTGACAGCAAAATATGTGACCATGGTCATTTGTTCCCTTGGATATCACTCATTCAAAATTCATACTTTTTGATTTCAGCGTTGTGCAGTCCTCAGTTTAAATTAAAATATCTTTGAAACGGTTCATTTTAGGGGTATTAAAGGTTTGCGTTTTTTATTCGCAATTGATTACTCTATCGATTTAGGCAATAAAAAATTGGTGTTAAGAGACCAAAAAAATGGAAAAACACAGAAAATGACCTGCAACTGCTGTAACCGGAAATTGAGTAGATGTATCCTGTTTTCGTGACTACCAGTTCAAAAGGTATGTTGTCACAAGGAAATGTTCCAAATTTTATAATAATTGGTCAAATAGTTCCAAAGTTATTACAAAAAAATCAGATTTCCATACCCACATTTCGAGGACTGTAAAATTATTATCAGTAGAGATAGGACATGAGTTATTATTTAAATTAACATCATTTTATAGGTCATTTTTGAGGTTCAAATATTGCTTTATATTTATGAATAACCCTGTAGGTAATAAAATATTACAAAAGTATATTTCATTTACACAATAAACGTCTTTAGTTTACAAGATTTACGTTGTTTATAACTTTTATTTAAAGTCAATGTAGTAATATGTCGGGTCGGGAAATTTACATTACATCTCGTGGTCAGAAAATACTTTATGAAGGATTACAAATGTCAGAAACTTTCTTTGTGTGTACAACTTTGACAGAAAAGCAGATATTTTATTATTTAAAGAAATGTTATTGTGAATAAAATAGTATACAAATCTCGGTGGCAATATTATTATCTCTTGGGATTTATCCAATCTCGAGGCTGCGCCTCTCATTTAGATATCTGAGTCCTCGGGGTAATGACATATTTCCCACTTCGGATGTAATCTACTATTAAATGTGCATATAGTTACAGCCAAAAACATACACTGGTAACTGCGTTTGCGTTTTGTAACTTTATCCACATTTAAGTTAATTAATTCCAACATACTTATAACTTGTAATCAAGACTCAATTTGTTATTGTCCCAAGTTTTAGGGTCGGCGCCAAAATAAATATCTCTAATTGATTAAAAAAAAAAAGAATTTTGATAGTGTAAAACAGTGTTTTTTAAAGTGGGGGTCGCGACCCTTGGGGGCCTCTACAAGAGGGTCGCAGAGGATCGCAGAGGATCGCAAAGTGTCAGTAGAAAACAAAAACAAAATAAAAAAAAAGAAAATGTTAATCAAAAGACACTTATTGCATCAAACTAGTTAACAAAAGTACCAAAATTTTTAAAAATACCGATGAGTCACATTAATATTATAATATGAAGTGTGCGCCTGTGCTACTGTCGTATCGCTTTTCCATGGAAGCGTTTGAAGGAACATAAATAAAATTAAAATACAATTAAAACATCTATAATAAAACACAGGTTAGGAACAGCGGAAGGTAGGGGGTCGCAAAATATTTTTACGTACTAAGGGGGTCGCACCATGAAAAAGATTGAAAAACACTGGTGTAAACGTTAGAAGATTAAATATACTTTAATTTGATGTTTTGATATTGAACAAAATTTTTGCGTATGGCAGTGAGACTTTAAAAATTAAACTTGGAGAAATTTTTTTTTTATTTAACTGGAATATTTTCTACATAACAAAATTCTTTGAATTTTTTCTGTGGTATTTTTTAAATAGAATAATGATAAAGTTGATAAGTTTTGAGTAATTAACATTTTAATAATGAAAATCTGAAACTTGGAATAATTTATGGAGAGGTTTGCGGTAATTAATCAGGCCAGATTTTTTTGACAAAAGAAAAGGTCCGTAATGACGTACCAGAATTTTCGATTTTCAATATTAAAATGTTAATAACTTAAAATCAACTTTTATATTATTCAATTTTTACTGTTACCATTATAAAAAATCTAGGAATTCTATCATGTAAGAAAGATTGCACACAATTTTTTTTTCAAATTTGATTTTTAGGGTCTCACTGACATACGCCAAAAATTTTGAACAATATTAAAGCATGAAATTTTAGTCTATATAATCCTCTATCGTTTGCACTAGCAAAATTTTTTTTAATTAATTAGAAGTATTTATTTTTGTGACGGCCTTAAAACTTAGAACAATCAGCACATTTGTAAAAAAAAATGGGTCCAGTTTACAGCTATGCAGGGTATTTTTTTTAAAACGAGACACTTTTAGAAAATCACAAGACAGGTTAATTTTTATTTACAGGGACACACTTTTTAGTGTACTTTTAAAAGTTATAGTATCAACCACTCTGTAATACAAACAACCCTTAAATTTTAAATGGCACCACCTCTTTTGTGATACCTCACATTTTATTTTGACCAGAAATTCGGCTGTGTGTTTTCGTAATTTTTATTTACATTACGCAGAACAAGATCCAGCAGAACAAATTAAGTTTATGGATAGCCCTGAAATGTCGTCTGCGTTGATTGGGGGTAATCAAATGCCAAAAAATTATAGATTGACCTGTCTTCACTTTTTTAATTTTTTCCACACATGCAATACTATTATTAACAGTGATATTTCTTGTATCTTTATGTGTTTTCGAAAAAATCGCTTTATACCAGAATGGTGCTTTTTATTTCATACAAGATAGATTAAATTTTACAAAACTAGCTAATAAAATGCCAAAATAAGATGCCAGATTGAACACCAATTGAGAAATCTTTTCTCTCTAATTTTGGACAATTGTGATAAATGTAGTTATTTTCCTTGTCGGCAAAAAATTGGCATAATTTGCATCCAGTTGCACAAAATTTAAATTAGTGTTTGTTCTTAATTTAAAATTATCTAGTTAAATTGCGAATAATCAGCTCCGACTTCACTTAATTAATTCCATTGAATAACAATTAAATCTGGTTACTTAATCATAAATTAAACCTATTGTTATACAAATATTCTATTTAACACTCAATTTATCAAACCAATGACCACAACGCAAAGAAGAGCATTTTCTGGCAAGTTTCTTTCAGCCGACGTTAATTAAAAATTCAAATTGGAACTCCAATGCAAATATTTTTTCTTAATTAATTTTAATCACTTTACTTACATATTTGAATCTACAATCGGAAACTTTACACTGATTTTAAAGTAGCGTAAAACTTTTCACTTTCGCACTTTTTGCGTGTTTTTCTGCCGATAACCAGGAATTCAACAAAACGTGCAAATTATTTATTTGCTTTGGTTTCCATGTCGAGACACTTGTTAACACATACGCATTTTATTTATTCTAATGAAAAGTTGAATGAATTATTTTCTAAATTGTGGTTTTACTCACCGATAGTGGAGAAGGTTGTCCTGAAAATCACATAAATAAACTGAAACACCGTCACAAAATTCTGATAAAACTCTTTCGGAGTAACTATATGTCGTTCGATAAATTGCAGAGTATGCTGTCGCCAATCTGTCTGCTTCGTGTGAGTTCACTCAAGATATCAAACTTGTTCTGAACTTATATACCGATAAGTATGAGCATAACTTAGAGCAAGGACGCTGAGGAGCTAATATTCTGTGTTAAAGTGGCGCGTGACTTAATTTTTTTCGGGAATTGGACTCGTGCATCAACCAACTCGAAGTTTAGGATTTCATAATGGAGCTTCTAATTTAATTAAAGTGGAATCCTCAACACATTTCGAAATAACTTGTTTGTAAATGACCCGCAGAGATGAGTTGCTGCGACAAACGCATTCAAACCCATCGAATTGGTTATAAATAAAAAAATCGTTGTCTTTGAGATAAATATTTATTTCTTCGGCCTTTGGTCCGTGCATATTTCGAGAGAAACAGGTTAAACCCAACTGTTGGTACTAAGATTGCGTCAATTGATCACAGTGTCGGAAGCCAAGTGTGTTAATAATTTAAGACTTGATCGGGAGAAATTCGCAACTTCGCCGGAAATGGTACACGAAGGTGAGGAAGCTATCGGAAATTTCCTTCCAACACGGGAAAATTATTTTAATTTCGATTGGTTTCACTTTTTCTATTACATGGCTTTGCTCTTTAGTGAAAAACACAAACTCCCACGGGGGAGATTAATTGATTTTTCTTTATTTCGCACGTGGAGGCTTAAGTGCTTGAGCAAATATGACAGCGGACGAGTGGAAATGATTTTGCAACTTATTGTAAATATTTTCACGAAAAATACTACGAATTGCGATGACAATAAATGTGACGATTTTAACATTTTTATGGGGTGCAATGAAACCGAAAAGTGCTTTTCAAAATCAATTTACATCTAAAGGATTTAAATTTGTTTAAGATCATTCAGATCAATTCTTTCTGTTGATCTGTTGATTTTTTTTAATGTTTAGAAGTCTATATATGTTATTTTTTTCTCTGATACAAGTACTTTGCGGATTTAAAAACTGTTATTTAAAAATGGAATGGAATAATGGAATGAAATTCAGATCTTTGAAAAACAATTTTTTTTCTTTTTAATTAGAGTATTGTATTTTAATGCATTCATAGAGATACTATTCCAAATTTCAGTTCTTATGTATGGTCATTTAACAATTTTTTCATTAGACTCTGACACATACAGCTAAAAAAGATACATAGACAAAATGAATAAAAATTATGGAATCATGTGTTTGTATTTTTAATCATTTGTCTTCGGAAAATAATAATTATTAAAAATTAAAGTGCTATAAACATCTAATCGTTTTTTGAGAATGAAATTTTGTTTTGTTTTTATTTTTATTTATTATGCCATTTTTTTTAAAATGGTAACTTATAGGTGTATGAATTTTTTTTTAATAAAAATGGTAAAAAATGTAAGTAACCGTAATCTTAAGATTATAGCTTTTATAAAGAAGGGTTTTATAGTGGGTTGACATTTGAAAAAAAAATTTTTGAGGAACTCAAAAACAACAAAATTTAGAAAAATTTTTTTTGAGAACGTTCATATTTTTCACATTTTTTGTGAATATATTATAAGTACAGAGTTTTGTGTCATTACTTCTGAAGCAGATTGTACATATTTTGGACTGATATTTTCACAAAAATTATTTTACAAATTTTTTACTACTTTTTTTTAGTAAGGAGGAGGATTTAAAAAGATTTGGAAAGTAAAAACATGTATTAGAATCAAAGAAATTTGTAAAAATGTAAGAAACGTTGAAATACACATAAAAAACTGTATGTAAAAATGTTACCTGAAACTGAAGCGGAGAGACGTGAGAAATGAAATTGTAAATAGTATAAAATTATTTTAAATATTTAAAGAAATTGTTGATAAAACTTAATAGTATATACAACCAAGAGGTCAGATTATCTGACCGCGAGGCGCAGTCTCGAGGTTATATGTAGCTTGAGGGTGTAATGAATTTCCCACGTAAAAACACAGACGTAAAATTATGAAAACGTAGCAGTTAGTTATAAATTAGTGATATTTAGTTTACGTGATAATTGATAATAATGTATTACTTTTCTTAAGTAATTAAAAAAGTCAAAACGTAAGAACAACTTACGAACGCAAGCGTAAAAACGCTGGAATTTAAGGAAAACATTTGTGGTAAATATAATAAAAAAATTGAAAATATAAAAATCTAAACTTTAAAAATATAACCTTAACTTTGAACTTGAAGGCAAAGAATTGTACAAATTTAAAATTTTGGCAACATGAACTAAAAAAATAATCTGTGTAGTTGAAATTTATTTACAATAAATTAAAAATCGATTGTAAACAGCATAATAGCAAAAGTACATCGACAAATATGTTTTTGAACTTGAAAGCTAAAAGTTTAAGGATGTGAAACTTAGAACAAGCAGTAATTTGGAAATGTTAATTTGATTGTTTAAATTATATTAATTATTATTAAATTATCCAGTGAGTTGCAAAATTATGGAATAATCTTATTAAAACGGAAAATATTTTGTGTTGGACAAAAAGCTCAAACAGGTCAGTTTTCTTTTTAAAAAATATACAATATTCAACTTGATTTAAAATTTTGCACTTTTTAGTTTTTGAGTAATCACATCATCGACATTTTTTCTAAATAAAAACCCTAATTTTTTTAGCCAATTCTATAGATAATTTAAGTATCGAAATGGCAACATCAAAAATAATATTTAAAAAAATACCAAAGAAATGAAATAATATCAACAAAAAACAAACATACAATTTTAAATCAAGTTGACAATTTTGGATTTTTTTGAAAAGAAAATTGACCTGTTCGACCATTTTTGTCAAAACAAAATATTCTCAGTTTTAATAAATGAGATTATTCCATAATTTTGCCGTTCACTGTATTATTATTATTAAAATGGTAAGGGAGATACCTGGGCCAATATTTGCAACTCTCTCCAATGAAAAAAAACTCATTGATTTCGGGTAATTATCGTATAATCTGTTAAAGCATCACTTAAAAAGTGTGCTTATTCAGCACTTCATTATTATTCCGCAACACAATTTGGATTTTCAAATACATAAATTGAATTATAGCGAAATAACTTGTCAACTGTTGGGATTTGAATAGAAACTATTTTAAAATGCAAATTCGCAGTCGCATTGTCACATAAAATCCATAAAGTATGAGGTGATTGTGTCTGAAAATAAATGTCCATTTGAAAAATATTAGATTTAAGTAGAATTTGCTGTTATGCCAAAGAATTTGATTTTTATTGCCAGATTTAAACGCGAGCTTTATTACTCGCCTCAACAATGTTGAAAAATAGTTGCGAAATTATCAAATCCGTTAAATATTTCACCGTTTTGTGGTAGAATGAAAGCTCGTGTGGTTAAATCGGGCAAACGCGCAGAACAAACATCAATTTCTCTCAATTGTTTAAGAAAGTGCCGAATGCCGTATTGTCTCCAGACAAAGCCCAAGGCGTGAAAGAAAGTCCGGCGTGTCATTTCTTAAGTATTGTCAACGCAAGTCCGGTTTATTATTGGAGATCCTGATCACGTCCGGGGAGTCATCTAATAATCTAGCGGTTAACGTATTGATTTGTTTGAAGTCGATGGTCACAGTTTAATGGTGACCTGTGGATGGGTCGAGGTCAACGAGGCCTCGCCGATTCCGTGGTTCACCTGATCACCAATCGAGCTTTCTTTGATTTGCGCATCGCAGGATCGACGGACCCCCGGAAACAAAATCATTCCGGATTGAAAGGAGGAGACAGAGCGAGTGTCGATCGAGTGGATTTGTGCCAGGAACGGACACTGATGAATTTCGCCGGAGGTGGAGGAGGAGGGACGAGTGAAAAACTACCGTTTGGAGAGGTTTAAAAGGATATATCAGAGAGTGTGCAAAGGTTTTAAACGACCCAAGATTTATTCGAAAAAACAGAGAAAGAAAACCATTTGAAAAGTTACGATCTTTAATTTAATTTGATTTTTAGTGCCTTTTAATTTTCTGACTAGTTCATAAAAGTTTTTGCCGCTCATTTAATGATTTTGCAAACAAATAAACCTTTTATCTCTATTTTTTTCTGTCTCTTATTTGCGTTTCAATCATTTCATTAATTATAATTTTAATAAAGCAATTGTCTTTTCACGAATTTTATTATTAGTTTAATTAAAAATATGGCATTTATTACAGCGAATAATAAATAAACAAGCTTTGCTAATAGAAATAGCTCGTAACACTATTTTTTATTGATTTCTACTTCGCTTTTTTACAGTTATATTAAAATAAGTATTAAAAATTTATTAAATATACAGGCTGTTTCGACTAAACCCCACATAAGAGTTGTAACAGTGAAGTTTATCTAAAATTTTGATTAAAAATTAATATAATTGTTTAGATCCTGCGTAATGAAAATATTTTCAAGATGGCAGGACTTCCGGTTACACCGGAAATGGGTCTCAACTTTGTCATTTTAAATAGAAATTTTTGTTTTTTATTGCGTTTTTGGATTACTCAAGTGATTTTGAGAGAGTTTTAATGAGACTCCTTATACCTAAATTTAACCGTTTTTGAAATATTTAGACTTTTATGAATTTTTTTTTGCATCTTTTTCTCCACAAATCGATAACTCTCCCATTTTTAATTGTTTTGAAATCGTATTAGGGCATATGAAAAAAAAGATTAGATCTTTTTATTTGTGCATTTATAATTGGAAAAATAATTAACAAACCTCCAAAATTTAAGGTTACGTTTGGGAAAATTCAAACACCAGTAACTGAATTTTTTCAAATGGAAGGCCCCGATTTTTTTTCAACTAAATTAAAGAGAATTTAATTCTGCTTACATTCCCTATACCTAAATTTAATGATTTTCAAGTTATTTTGGCTTTTTTTACAATGGAAGAAATTCATTAGTATCCATAGTTTGCCATGAAAATGTTTCTCACTAAAATAACGCCATTTTTTTTCACAATTGTGTTATCTTTTATTAAATTTATTTAATTTATTAATTAACTTTAATATTTTATTTTTTCTTATTTCTATGACAACCTATGCTAAAGTAGCTATGGCAAATGAATTTCTCACAATTTCAAAAAAAGTTACTATAACTTGAAAACTATCAAACATAGGTATAGGGAATGTTAATACAGATCGAAGTATAACTAAATTCTCTAGTAAAGAAAAAATTGGGGTGTTTTATTTAGAAAAATTGAGTTAAGGGAATTTGAATTTTCCTAAACGTAACCTTACATTTTGGCGGGTTGTTAATTATTTTTTCAATTATAAATACATCAAAGGAAAGATCTAACTTTTCTTTCACGCATACTTAAATACGGTTTCAATATAATAAAAAAATGGTAGAGTTATTGATTTTTGAATAGGAAGATTTAAATCCAATTTTTTTTTTAAGGTTTAAACAATCCGAAAACGGTTACGGTAACTTAGATATAGGAAAGGCTAATAAAAATTTTCTCAAAATGACTTAAGTAATCCAAAAACGCAATAAAAAATGTAACTTTTTTTTTAAATAACAAAGTTGATATCTACTTCCCGTGTAACAGGAAGTGCCGCCATCTTGAAAATATTTTTATTGAGCAGTACCTAACCGATTATGGCTATAAACAAAATTTTAGATAAATATCATTATTAGAACTTTCAATACTTCTAATGTGGGTTTTAGCCGGAACAGCCTGTATATTTCCGGTAGGTCAACTGGAGCGTATTTAGCTATTCATGTGAGTTTTTGTCCTTGATAGCAAATTTTGGACGTTGAGAGAATTAATTTTGTACAACCACGTGTTAGCCTCAACACTATTTGGCAATATTTTTCAAGCAAATCGTAGAAAATAATGTAAATAACTCTATTGACAGAAGGTAATGGATTCTTCTAATTACATTAAAAGTGGACTCGTAGTTAAATGTCAAAATAAATTGTGTTTTTTATTAGAAATGTAAATATTTTTCACAGTTTGCGTACGACAGCGTTTATTAATTAAGTAAAAATTTTAGTTAAACTTAAGGTTAGTCGGATGAATTTCTTGCGATTTTCCTTAAACTCGATTCGTTAGCTTGAGGCACTGCCACTTTAAATCAATTCTTCCGTAATTTTGCGTTTTAACTGAAACTCAAGCGGCCACAAACTGATAAATCTCTTGCACAAAACTCCAATTATCGGATGACAAAAGGGTGTAGAAAAGTGAATCCTTCATTTAAAATGTCAAGATTGTACAAAATTGAATCGATCAAGGTTTGCTAACCTTTGTCCAAGGTAATCTTATTCCAACTTGGGACAAATAACAATAGCTACTTGCAACGAAGAATCCACATTTTCGATTTTGCCGATTTAAACGGTCAAGGCCTCTGCCATCAACTGTGCCAATGTCAGAGATTCGGAAGCTGATCACTAATTACGGTAATTATCGACGATTTATTACACTTTGTGTGCAGTTCAAGGCGACTGTGTCGTCACGATTTAATTTTGTCAATTTAATTAAAAAGCGAATTATGCGACCTATATATCTAGCAAAGTGCTCGTAGATCACCCCCTTTTCTAATAAAACTGCCCGCACGCAGTCTATTACCCATTCAGATTAATTATTTTCAAGTGATTTATCGATTCGATCGAAATTTGCAAATTGCGGATTTTACTGTTTCAAGCGAGTCGAGGCTAAAGGTCAGGTCACTGTTTCATTATCGATGCATTTCCGATTTGTGAACGTAAATATAATAAAGTCAGATCAATTAAAACAATACAATAGGTGATTCGCAGGAAAGAAAGTGGGTTGAAGGGTGGGACGCTTCCCCACAACAAGCGATTAATTAATGTTTAACCACTCGCTACCTCCGAAATGGAACAATAAACTCACAGAGTTGTACTTACCTGAATACAGTTTCTACATGTCTAGACAACTTTTTTGACAAAAATTTTAGCTTCTCTTCTAGAAAAGTTAATGGTTTATTGACGTGTAGCATTTATTGTTTTCTGAACAATCATACTTTGTTTTTGTCAAATTACACTTTTTTGTTTAAATGTGCTTACATTAACCTAGATTGTTCTACATTTTTTTGGTAAACAACACAGTTTTGTAAAGTTTAAGATCACAAATTGTTCTGACATATTTACTAACTCTGTTTAATAATCACTCCAAACTGCAATTAAACATTTAAATCGCGTTAGCAATCAATAACAGGCAGTTAAATTGCTTGTACTTACATGTCTCTCGTATTGTACAAGGCGGAAATAAAAATGATTAACTAGCAGTTTAAGTGGTTACACGTTCGGAATAGATATCTATTAGGTCAGTTCGAATCTCGTGAAAAGTTTACTTTCTTTCTTCTCGACAAGTAGCATCAGGTGCTTTTAACTTGCAATACTGTAACAGTTACTTAAAAAAGCAGTCAGAACGACGTTAAACTTCCACTTTAGGGAATTTTTATCTCGCCAGTCCATTTTTGAGCAACTTTTAAAATTAAAGTACAAAAGTTGAAGCGAAGAGAATGAAAACTTGTTTCGTTATCGGAATCAAACTGACGATCGAGTCGTAATTCACTGGCTCAAGAAGGATTCTTAGCGAGGCGCCGAATTTTAAGAAAAGATCACCAAACACAACGCTTGATATTTCCTATTCAGGAAAATTTTTTATAAAAAAAACACGTTTTTAGTTAAATTTTTTCGAAAAAGCAAACAAATTTTATAAATTTCGATGTCTCAGATCTACTAAATATTTCTCCAGGCTTATATTTTTATTATTTTACGATTCTCATTGTTTTTTTTTACTTTTTTTATATTATCTGATTATTGACATTAATAAATTGCAAATAAAAATGTTTAATAGCTTTAAAACTGCTTCGTGGAGGTAAGATACATATTTTAAAAAAAGATCACCAAAAAATTTTTCTTATTCAGGAAAAATTTTAATACCAAACCACGTTTTTTAGTTTTAGCCTAAGCAAGGATTAAATTTTTTCGAAAAAGCAAACAAATTTTATAAATTTCTGTGTCTCAGACCTACTAAATATTTCTTCTGGGTATTATTTTTATTGTTTTTAGATTTTCATTGTTTTTTTTTTACTTTTTTGATATTTACTGATCATTGACACTAATAAATTGCAAATAAAAATATGTTTAATAGCTTTAAAACTTCATCGTGTAAGATACATTTTTTTTTGATTTTTTGGTTAAATAAAGTGCCAAGCTTTGTATGCTGGTAGTTAATTTAAGTATTTGTGGGTTAACATTATATTTAAACTTGGTAATTTATGCAGTGTTTTGTTTTCAGTTGCTTATTATAAAATTGAGACATTGATTTCAGGGACTTACAAGCTTCGGCAAAGTGGTGATCGTAAACTGTTGCAATCTAATCGCATTTTAAAATCTTGTGTTAAACAATTATTTTTGACATTTTGCGTTTGGGTATTTTAGGTTTCTGTTCTTTGAGCACTTTTATCTGTTATCTTAATCATGTAAATTTGCGAGGTGGCCTCGTTCGAGTTGTGTAATTTGGGGAAAATGAAAGAACAGATTGGGAATATACATCATTTATTTATAAGGATAGATAAACAATATATAAAGGTTAAAGTAAAACAGTTTTAAAAATAATGACTTATTTAGTGTTTAGTTCTCCACACATACAAAGTTAACAAAATAAATCTGAAATATACAAAATTAATAAATTCAGTGTATATCAGATAGGCCTACGTATATAATATATAACATTACATTTTTTTGTTTTGTTAAGCTACATGTATGCATATAATCTACGTTTTTCTTTCCCTAGACACTAGTTACTAATTAATATTGACTGTTTAGAGCGACCATTGTATAATAAACACATCAAAACCAATGAGAAGCTAACTCAATCAGGACAGTGCTCGGCCATTTTCCTACCAACAACAGTGTGTGTTACAGAATGGCTCCACTTTTATCTCTAAAGTGCATGAAAGCACCATCATGAAGAGTAGATATCTATCACGTATCACATCAAAATGGCGAACATATTGAAGCGGTAGGTAACTCTTTAGTTACGGTGCATATCGATTCAACAAAAGATTGAATCCGACTCTTCTCTAACACGATTAACATTTTCTCCGCTAAAATACGCTAATATGGTACAACTGTCTTTCTGATATGTCTTCTTTTAAATGTATATCTTTAAAAAATACATTTTAAGATTATGTGTATATCAAATACGATTTTATCATTCATTTTACATTTAAACACTACTTAATTATTGGACAGGACAGCTGAAGTCACATTCATGATATGTGTGCAGTTTCGATAGATATGTATATTGATTGTAATAATTACACTTTGCACGGTTATGATATGTATCTATGGTACGGCCATGGGGGCCCCATGGCAACACAGGCCGACAACTACTTGCTAGACGGTGCTCGGCAAAGAAAAACACGAAACAACAGTCAACAAATCTAACATTTATAAGCTCAAACACTCCGTTCGGTTTAAAGCTTCAGTGGTACACCGTATCGGAAATGAAACGACGGGAAAAGTGACGACGACGTCCTCCGCTGCTTACTAAACTATCATAAGACTGTTGTAAATTTGTAAGAATCAGTTGTGTGTAAGAAAGTCGAGGAATGAAGCGACGACGTCCACACTGTCCCCGTCCATGATATGTATTCACAGCAGCAGCTCATTTCAGCTGTTTCCAGCCCTTTTGCGCGGTATAAATAGCTATACTATAGGTATAAGTAGTAAATATAGGCACTAATCTAATACAGGCATAAGAACGACAGTTAGAGCCTAACCAACAAGCACACAAAGTCAACTTTACAAGCCAAAAAATTGTTTGATTTGTGTTTTTGTTGACTCGACTAGGGTGGTAAGCCTGCTACCACTAATACTTGTATAAGAACCCCGGAACTGCTCCAGTTGTACTTGTGAATTGTCATTCTTTCGATCCGGAAAAGTGAAATAGAAGTCCGATGTGTGAGCAACCAGCAATTCATGCTTTAGAATTTATTGTACGGTTGTGTGTTTTTTTTTTTTTCAATTGACAAGCGTGGACACAAACAGGAAACAAGCTACTCGGAAAGAAAATGATTATAACGTGTCATATATAAAATGTACAATGTTGTTAACAAAATTATCTCTTATATACAAATTTGGCTAAAAGATGAAAATAAAGGATCTGTTATCACGATTCCCTAGAAATTTTTACAGAAGCATGCACGACGCAAGTGTGGCGCAAACCCTACACCTAACATAAGATTGGTTACTTAATATTATTAAGATGATTGTCGATGACTGTGTATAAATGCAATCAAATTGGATTTTATACAAAGTCAAGTGTTATACAATGCGTACAATTGCCACGAGCATGCCCAAAAACAAGCATTTTTCTATCTCGTGTCTCATTGAGTGTCACAATTCGGTGACATCGGCAGAATGAGGCGCTTTTGTATCACGTCAATTTTCCAGGGTACAAACTGACTCCATTCTAAAGCTTCAGTTTTAATCCAGACCGGGTTTTGATTTCTTTCAATCGCTTTCTCATTCGACAGTTCCTATGTACAACACGAATTAGAAAGCGATTGTTGAATTAACATTATTATTCTAATTTCATTTCGTATTCTCTACGTCTGTGTCTGAAGCTTTGCGACTAAGTAGGCCTACATTTGCTTACATATAAGAGATACTTATCTACAATGCGCTTAGAGCTAGCATCAAATGGATGAGAATTTCCAACAGGGTGCGAGTTGATGCTCTACCAGATGAAGACCCCATTTTGCTTAAGTAAGTGTTGACGCACGGCGGCTCCGCCGAATCTAAAACAGAAACAAGAGGCTAATGCTACGTCAACATTCTTACAGAGGCTCTATTTTCCTATTACCATAATGCGATTACCGACTTCGGTAATTGGCTCTCCTAACACTCTAATCTAATTGCGAAATTACTCAACTTTTAGCGCAAAAAGGAATGTATTTCCATTATTAACCATACGTAATTCCAAATTGAACAAAGAAACAAATTTGCACTTATGTGCAAATTTTTTAATTTTCAAAACAGCTTTTTTTGGCTGTTTTCAAGTGTATCTATTGGTGTTTTCCTATTCAGAAAAAAGATCAAAAGTTGGTCACCAAAGTTTTTTTATGTAGATTTCAAATTTGAAACCGGCTGGTTTTACTTTTTGTACAATAGATTTTTTTACTTGAGGTTGTACTCTTCCACTCACATTATTTTCGAGTATGATGTGGATTAGAACATGATTTTTTTAGCATGTCATGTTATATGAAATATTAAACTAAACGTATGTATGTACGATGACAAAAAAGAATTTATAAATTTTTGTAATATGGGTTTTTAACACCGTGATTATATGAAAAAGGAAGACCGATAGTTCTATTGGTCTACCGTTTTGTTCAAATTTTGTCGCAAATTTGGATTCTGTATAAAAAAAAATCAACCAAAACCACCTATTCTTGATCCTTTTCTAGAAGGGAAACTGCTTATATAAACACAAAAACAACTAAGAGAGAAAACAATTTTTCTTCCGTAATCTGCATCCCAAAAAATATAAAATACGTTCTTTTTGTCTAAAAAACGGTTTTGGCCATCGAGATTTTTTGTAACACGTATAACATAATAAATGTTAAACAAAAAACAAGTTAAATAAAACTGTTCATTAATTTAATTAGTGCAGTTAGTAGAGCAAAATGTCAAATGCTGATGATCTATAATGTCCCTCTCCAGAAATTGCTGAAGCAGCGAAAGGGACAAAATGGGTAAATGTCATGGTAAAACTAAAAACAAAAAATTGAATTATTACTCTATGGCTCTATGTTGCAATTTGGAGCAATTTTAAGATTTTTAGTTTTTTAATCGATTTTTAATTTTATATCTTAAAAGAAATATTGTTTTGTGCACTTAACAACAAATGACCAATTTCGCGTATTAATTTCAATGTGAAAAGTTTAACTTTTTTCATGATTGTAGAAAAATATAATTTTTCAAACTCGATCCATGAACGTTTTATTTATTTTTTGTTCCAAAATTAGTTTAGTATAAAATTGGTCACTTTTGGGACGTTTACGGATAAAAGTTGTTTATAACAACCCTTAACTGTTTAGAATTACAATTTTTGAAAAAATAACATTACTAGTAATGAACAATTTTCGTTTTTCTTTTTAGTTATGTGTAAGGTTATAAGAATTGAAATAAATGAAAGAAAACTTGATGAAATTAAATAAAATAAAAGGACATATAAACATGCACTTATTTTATTAAATCGAAAAACAGATTTTGATTAAATTAGGATATGACAAATTTGAACAATTAGTAGTTATAATATAGTTCGATTTTTCATTACATACTGATACAAGTGTATTGTTTAATTTTTATCTTGACAAAGTAATTATTTGAGTCACAATTTCGAAAGACTAATCTGGTTTCGTTACTTTTGGCACTTTGTCATCATTATTATGATTACCTAAAAGAAAGTTTAAATTATTTCCACAATAGGGCTAATGACTTCCAGTTGATACATCAGATAATAGAATTTGATGAAATTCCAAAAGTCGTTATCTCTCTGTAATAATGAGTTTTAGTTAAAATTACTTTCACTTTGTGTGGGAAAATTGTTTCGAAGCGGTCGTTTAGTCTTGTTGAATGTTTTATCTAGACAGTAAACTGAACTATCGTCGCAATAAACACCGTCTGGAAAAAGAAAGTTATATCCTCTTTTCCCAACGAAATTTCAATTGTCACGCGTCGAAAAAATTCCAAAACGTCCCATTTAATTTTCATATTCGGCACGTAAGAATTTCGTTAAAGTCGTCTCGTTTTCGAAAACAGGCATTTTCGAAAACTGCTCACGTGTCGTCGTTGTGCATGCGGATATATCCAGAGTCTCAGCCGTTTCCTTCGAAAGAAATGTAAGCCGTATTCCCTCAGGAGGATTAGATCGATGGTGGTGTGTGCATGCACAGGACTCGAAATATTACTGCTTTCTGGAACAGACCGGTCCCGACTGATTTTATAGCCGGCGACGCTTTTACCTTGGATGTCGCCGGCGACACAAAAACACAACCAATTTGCTAGCAAGACTTTCAATTTATGACCGCCATGAATCGAACTGATTCGACGACCTTTGAGTGATACCAAGGGATATGCGACTCTTGTAAATTAATTGCTGGATGCTGTTAACGCGTCCGGAGGGACGGAAGGGCGAAGCGATGAGTTGAGGCCGAGGGCATGATCTGGGTACTGAGATTTTGAGGGGGCGCCAGATATTAAAATTCAGACCGCTTTCAGCACCCTTGGAATTGGCCGCTGAAGCAAAAAATTCGCTTTTCCATCGGCAAATAAGAAAAGCAAAATTTTGGTTACTTCACAGCCCAAAACAACCGAGGACGCTGAAATCCGGTATAGGGTGTACCATTTTTGTGAAAAAGCTAGCTTCTAATTTAAATAAATCAACATAAAATTATTGAATCATAGTCTTTTTTTATTTTTAGTTAATTTTATTGAAGACCTTATTTTCCAAATTATGGAAATAGACCAAAATAACAATTGACAAATTCTTGTTTTTTGCTTATTAAAAAAGATTAAAAAATTAACAATTTATTGATGATTTATTACTTTTTTTGCATAGTGATTATGAAAGTTGAATTTTCATCACGATTAATCGTATAGAAAATTATATTTTTTAAATAATTTTATTAAACAATTATTAATTACAACAAACTCTTGTTTCTATAGAGTTTGTTACAAAGAGCTCGCGATACATTACGATTTGATTTATCAAATTGATATCTTTTTGGTCTTTGGGGTTCTTGGGGTTATCATTAGGTATGCAAAAAAATGTTGTGTACAACTCGTTTTGAAAGTCCTTTTTTCACTCATTTGCTTGATTACCTGGGGCAGAGCCCTCGTTAATCAACTGCAAATACAAAACTAGTTGTTCAAATAACTATTACAGATTGAAAATTTTCTTGTTTACTTTCGTGAACTTCCGGTTTCATCAAATATTTAAGGAAATCAAAATTTATTTATTTTTCTAATAGCTAAATATCCAAAAATTGTTAGGCAAGATGGCTTAAAAAAATCATTTTTTTTTTAAATTGATTTTTCTTTTTCTAAAGTAAGATACCAGGAACATGGAAAAAATGTTAAAAAAATTCCATCTATAAAAATGTCGAAGTTATGTGAATTTAAATTTTGCATTTAGGCTCTATTTATTTCTGTTAGAAAAATAATTTTTAAAGTTTTTTTGCTACAGTCTATTAGAAGAGGAAGCAAGGAAGCTGTATCCTAAATTGTAACTCTGTTTAATGTTTTTTGTGGCTTTTATTAGCAAAATTTTTGTGCTTTTACTAAATAATTATAAAAAAACATATACAAGATCATCAGTATCATTAAATAGAAATAAAAAAATGTTTTTAAACATTTTTTCCGTGTTCCTGGTGTTTTATCTTACATGACATTGTTCTGGCGCAGCCTGTATATTTTTTTTAAACACGATGATTTATTAAAATTTGGAAAACATTAAATATTTATTTTGAATCTCTAATTTTTTTTCTAAATAAAGATATAAAATCTTATTTTTTTAGAATAAAAAAATATAAAAGGACGTAAATTAAGATGATCGAAAATTAATGTTTTTTATAATTTTTTCTGATCAAAATTTGCCATTTGCCCAAATGAGCATGCTAAATAGTTAAAAAATATCAAGATCAATGAATTCTGTATAAATAAGACGGCTAAAAAAAATTTTATTTTTTTTTTATAAATCAAATTTAACTTATTTCGTTATTTTGTTTTAAATAAAAATATTGAAAAACTGATAAGAGTACATTCGGTATCAAATGTTGCGACAACTAAAACTTTAGGTATTTATGGAACTATTGAAAAAATTGTCATTCTGGCTTTTCCTTGTGTTTGCTTTAAAATAAAGATTTATTTTCTTGGCAGTTTTGTTTAAATTTGCTATTTATTTCCGTGAACTTCTAATTAGATCGAAATTTGTCAATTGGTCAAATAAGCATGCTAGATAATCAAAGAATAATAGGATCTATGATTTCTGTATAAATAAGACGGCTAAAAAAACAAATATAATTTTTAAAGTGAAACTTTTTTTATAAATCTTTTTTATTTTATTTTGTTTTAAATAAAAATGTAGAACAATTGATAACAGTATCAAATGTTAGGCAAGATGGCTTAAAAAATCATCTTTTTTCTTTAATTTTCTTCTTTTTTTAGAACGAAAAAAATGTAAAACAACGTGAATTAAGACCATCGACAATAATTAATGTTTTTAGTAAATTCTTCTGATCAAAATTTGTCAATTGTGCCATTGAGCATGCTAAATAGTCAAAGAATGTTAGGATCTATGTATAATTTATGTATAAATGAGACGGCTAAAAAATTATATAATTTTTTTTTATAAATCAAATTTAATTATTTGATTATTTTGTTTTAAATAAAAATATAGAGTACAACTTAGGTATCAAATGTTATGACAAATAAAAATTTATGGAACTATTGAAACAAGCTTTCAAATACAACCTGTTTGATAAAAATAAACATTTAAAAAGAATTTTTTGCATAGTGATTATGAAAGTTGAATTTTTATCAAGATTACCTATCGTATATACTTTGTTAAACGATTTGATTTATGAAATTGATATCTTTTTGGTCTTTGGCGTTATTACTATGGAAAAAAATGTTGTGTACAACTCGTTTTGAAAGTCCTTTTTTTCACTCATTTGCTTGATGACTTTCAAAACTAGTTGTACAAATAACTATTACACTTAGTATAAAATAAAGCAAATTGAATGGCTGTTTTTACTTAAAAAAATGCAACTTTAATTTGTCTGATCTATAGTTTTGTATTTTCTTTTTGAACAAAAGCAGAATGGAAAAGTTTGTTGTACAATTTTTAAATGTCGAGATAGTTGCAACAATGCACACTGAATTTGTCCAAATTAAGTTTAAAATTTGATGTTTAAAAAGCATGAATTAAAGTAGCTTATTGAAACTTTTTAATTTTATTTTTTCACTCGGCTACTGTTTGTCCTTCAACCCTCTTTTGATTTTTGCGCACACGAGTGTGAACTAATCGCCCTTTCGCTTTTCACAATCTGTGAACTTCGTCAGCCGTCCCCAATCTGAGAATTGCGCAATCGATCCGTGTAATAATTAAACGTATTCTAGACTTGTTTTGAAATTAATCTCGACAGGAGGCGACCACAAAATCGATCCGTTTAATAATGCAGACTGCACATTTAGAAACAATTGAATTTACCTGGATTATCTCGAAGCTTCGGCAGGAAATCGTTCCAAAAAGCGCAAGCTGTCGCTCGAGGACCTTTCCCGATGCCGTTTTTGTCGGCGTTGAAAATGAAATACTGAGGCTGGTCTTTTGTGTACAGTGGCCAATTCACGTCGTCTGTCACAGGTTTCCTGAAAAAAAATTGATTTCTGGACAATGGAAAATGAATGTGAGTGTAAAAAATTATGGTGGGATAAAGTCTTATTATGTCGGTTCTTTGGCCCCTCCGGTGTGTAAATATCACACGAATCCGAGTAGCCCAAGTTTGGTCAATGCACATTGTGCAACAGGTAGGACATTTGCGGTTAGCCCCCGGCACGAATTTGCGTTATCTCTGCTTTGGAAATTGGTCAGATATCATGTCATATGTTATAATCGAAATAAACCTAACTCAATTATAAAATTTGTTCGAGAGATTTAATTCGTTGTTGGTTTATCCGATTTGTGTAAGCTGCTTACAGCTGAACGCTCACTAATGTTGTGTTAATTTGAGATATGCAAATATTTGCTTTTATAATAAAGCTTCAACGCTGATCCTACACGAGAAATTTTCGAAAAAAATTAATTAGATTTTTGGGAGCAAATAGCTGCTGCCATTTCATCCGAGTCAAGTGCTCGAATTAGATTTATTAAATATAAACATTTCTAATTTTCGGTTAAAACGCTGCAATTTTACTAATTTAGCTAATAGAGGAAGCATTTTGTATTTATGCAAAATATCAATAGCACGAAATGCAAATCGCGTGGTGAGGTTTTAGTTGAAACGGCCGAATGTTGTGTGAGATATTATTCTTGAGGTATAATCCGGATTAGGCGACGTAATTACGTATTCCATCGGACGGGTACACATATCTGAGGCCACCAGTACACTACATAGCCGGATTATTATACATGCTGTTATTAGCTGTGACTACGTGAGGTGGTATTAATACACTAGTGTGGGTATTACCTGCCGGTATTATTTGCAAGACAGAATATTTTATTGAACCAATTACAATTTCGTACAACATATATCATTTCTTTACATACTACAGGTTGTGTCAGAACTTACGCCCCAGAGAAAAGTTTCAAGTAAGATAAGAATATGGAAAAAACGTTTAAAAAATTCTGTCAATAATCTTGACATTTATTTTTTGACATTTGAAATTTTCTATGTCTATTTAATGATACTGATGATCTTGTACAGGGTGATTCTTAAATAGACCGACAAAATTTTATCACAGATTCCTAAGGATAAATGGAGACGAAGTGTACCCCTTCCACGTTTTTATCCTTTAGGAATAAAACCCCCTTGATCCGTGTCACTTACGGCCCGGTTAAACAAAGAATTTTTTACTATTTTTTTCCAGCATGTACAGTGATGGACAGTGAATTTCGTCCACCCAATTTTTGTGAATTCACAAAAATTCACCGTAGTCTGTGCTTCATTGTCATGATAACTGACATTCAAATACGTATTGTCAAATTTAATCAAATTTGAACATGCCAGCAGTAAGTGCGTTTAATAAAATAAAAATTATCTCTCTGGTACAAGAAGGTATGTCTCAAAGACGTGTCTCTATACTTTTGGGCAAACCCAAGACTACCATTCCAAAGGACAAAGTTAAAAAGTAGCAAGAAGCATCGAGCATTCTGTCAACATGACAAACGTTAATTAAAATTCTGAAACAAGGTTAGGAAAACCTAAAAACTAATTTACACTTTTAATCTGTCAGGGAAATTGGGTGGACGAAATTCACTGTCCATCACTGTACTCATTTGCTACTACCACGGCTAAATTTTTGTCGGTCTAATTAAGAATCACTCTGTATATGTTTTTTTATAATTATTTAATAAAGGTACAAAAATTTTGAAAATAAGAGCCACAAATAACAATAAACAATCTTCTAACAGCCTGTAGCAAAAAAAAAACTTGAATAAGTATTTTTCCCAACAGAAATAAATAGAGTCAAAGTGCAAAATTTAAACTCTCATAACTTCGAAATTGTTCTCAAGGGCGCTAATAAAAAAATATTAAATTTTAGGTTCAGGTTGGGAAGGGGTCAGGTCCTTACCAGTTTTCGAGTTTGCAAGTGGTCATTTCTCAGCCTGAACTGTTATATTTTGTATCAATTGTTACATGAACACATTCAACATTATTTGATTATTACTTTATAATTGTGAATAAATAATTAAAATACACAGGGTGATTTTTTTAGGGCTTAGGTAGTTCAATTTTTTTAGAAATTGTTGATTTAAAATCTGTTACAACTCACTTTTTTCAAATGAAGTGACCTTATTTTCTCACCAAAAGAACATCGATTTTTGTGGGGACTTTTATCAAGATTACTCACCTTTTACAGTTTTAAATGTTCTTTCGATTGCCAAAAAGGTTTTGAATAAACTGAGTTATGGTTGTTTTTCGAATATCATTTTTTAAAAACCTTATTCGTCTTGTAATTTTACGGTTGACAATCTTAAACTACATCAGAAAATTCTTCAAACGTTCGGTTATTAAATGTAAAAAAATTATTCACTTATCGCAAAAGATTCAAGAGTTGTGATTTTTTTAAAGGACTCCTGCAAATAAAAATCTCGACAAAAAATTTATGTATTTTAAAAGTTATTTCTTGTAATTTCGGAATTTTAACCATTTTGAAAATAATTTAGAATTTTGAAGATAGTCGATTTTGGTTGCGTACAAAATTTCAAAGCCGTAGTTACATTGGAAGTTGAAATGTTTCTAGGTAATATAAGAATCAACCTGTATATTTGTACACCTGATTTAAAAAAAAAACTGAGATTGCCAACTCAATATTTTCTCAAAAGCGAAGATAAGAATTAAAAAAATAGAGTTAAATGCAACTTTTATATTTATTCCAGATAGCGGAATACGATTTAGTATTTTCTCATCAAAGTGAGCTCTAAAATGTGTAATGATTTATGGGGACACAAAAATGAACATTTTGTACATGCATTGCAAATTTTCAAATCATTTAGGATCACTAATTAATTTTATTTAGTAGAAGTAGATTTTTTTAATACTTCTGAATATATAAAACTTTAAGCGACTTTATATTAAAAAAAAATTATTTACAAAATTGTCTCAAGTGCTTAATGCAGAAAGATAGTAAGGTAGTGTTTAAAATAAAACCAATGTCTCAAAAGTGGACAACACTGACAAAATTCGTTATTACCACAAATAAAGTGGCTTTAAATTCTGATGTCAATAACTTTATTTCTAAGAAACAGATAGCGACGCTGATTTCATCATAAAATTAATTTGCTTGACCCACTTTACCCGAGTGCTACATTTCTGTTTTCTTTTTCTTACGAAATGTAGTTTTTTTTTTATTAAAAATCCAGAAAATATTTCAAGGAAAACGCGTGGAACCAAATACGAATAAAATACATATTTTTTTATGTTAATTAAGTTTTGACTTAATTAAAAACCGCGTTTAACTTCTCCAGTCAAATTCTCTCATACCTACACAACGAATTTTTTGCCGTCATTTGTCAAAATTTTGAAAGTACTTTTTTTTTCAAGTTTTCTATTAATAATTGGTAATTGTTAAACCTTGAATCACTATTGATCGAAACCCGAAACTATGTCTTCGTGCCGGAGCCGTAATTCGAATCCTCTCGACTTGATCGAGTGTCCCATTGGTAAAAAGCACGATGGTCTCTCGAAGCCACTCGAATCGTTTGTAATTAGTCCTTACCCCGTTGCTGCAAATCTAGCAAAGGCTTGCATTATCTTCAGACTGAGTTCTCGTTCCCTTGAGTTAAACTGCAACGACATGTTCAAAGGATGGCCAAACACGTATTCTATCTCATCCCCGTGCATCACCCCCATCCACTCGCCCCACAACGACGTGCTTGTCCTCTGTAAAATAAAATCACTCGTTAGGTATGCGTAACACAAATTCGTACACGAGGCTGTATTAAAATTTGCATGTACGAGTATTTTCTCGACGATATTTAATTATCCGAAACGTTTCGATCCGACGCGAAGACGTCACTCGATCTATTATTTATTCGCGGGGGAAAAATCGATTCCACCATTAAAAAATTAAACAGTTTATTAGTGAATCATTTGGACTCAGAGAGAATTTATTACTTCGTCTTTTTTAGATCGTGGCCTTGAGCCATTTTTATCAACTATTGTATACCCATGACACGCAATCAACTTCTTAATTAGTTTCGAGTTGGAAGGAACTGGAAAGTGAATGAATTTGTAATTTGTCACATTATTAATGCGGCATGCCACCAGATTAAAATTTTACTCTTTCCGGCTTCAAAGTTGGCTTTTATGGTTATTTGGAGTTTACGAGTTGGTTTAATATTCTTTTAACTGACGCTAATAAAACAAACTAAGAAAGAACAAAACTCTAAGTTTCTTCTATTTTCCAATTTAGTTTATGACATTTTTTTAACTGGTTTTATATTCTTTCTTTGATATTTATCAAGTTTTCATTTTTAACCAGTTAATAAAAATAAACCAAAGCGCGATTCATGTTTTACTTAAAACTTGGAAGCAAAAATGGTGGAGGCGCCGGGAGAAGTTCTTTAAAAATAAATAAAAATTATTTCAAAATCAAATGCAAGATTTACAGTGTGAAACAAAATTACATTTTTTTTAAATTGCTTAATCATCTAATATAATATTAGTAAGATAAAAAAAACTGTAAAAAAGTGTACTAAAACTTTTCAGTCAAAGTAAATATGAAAAACTGATAAATCTAGATTTGAATCTTAAAAAGGTCAATCTTTATTTTCATTGTTCTGACGTTCTGAAATATTAATCGCGTAAGTTTTAAAAGTAATATGAGAATGATCTCTTTAAGACTCAGGTTCAGAAATATAATTCGCAATTTTAAAATTTTATTTTTGCAATGAACATAAAATTAATTATTGCCAATTTCTAAACTTTAATAAAAGAAATGATTCAATGAACAAAGAAATGATATTGACATCTGCCTTTCAGTTACAGAAATAAAATAATTAACAAATAAATGTAATTATAAAACTCGACTTATATTGAGATTATGATATGATATTAACACTTTTTTAAGTCAAGAGTGTTTACAACTTGTTTTGGTGAATTTTTTTTCAGTTAGTATCTACGTGTATGTTATTAGTGGATTAGAATTTCTGCCTCAGTCTTGAAACATAAGTGGCCTTAAATAAAAAATGGTAATAAAATAAGAAAATGGATTTAAATGGATTAATTTATTTTTACCGCACATTTTACATTCATTAAATTAATTTAGATAAATACAGCTTTGTTCATTTTCTTTAAGAAAAACTTGGAAACTAGATTATTTAATAACAAAAAAAAAACTGTTTTCTTCAACTAAAGAGTCCTCTGTTCTACTTTTTTACGAAAAAATACTTTTTCACTATGTTAAAGAACTTTCATAAAAAAATAGTCAGTCAGTTGTTTGATTAACAATATTGTAAATTTTTTTATGTTTTCTCCGATTTTAATAAATACGAAATATAAACATTCTTTCGGTGGAAGGGTTACAGAGGATGATAAGCTTGTTTTAGAACTATTAAATTAAAAACTGTGTAAAAGTACCTACAATATTTGATTTTTTTTATAACTTTTTTGAATCTTCTGGAATTGTCTTTTTTACTTTTTATTTTATTTTTACTTTTAATACGCTCTTTCTTTTGTTCCTTTAAAATTATCACTTAAATTCTAACGGTTTACGCGTAACGTCTTGTATTTTGTTACATTCTTACATTTATGCTTTTGGGTATTTTTATTCTACTTTTCAACTAATTTTTATCGTTTTGATATTTTACTTGTATTAACATTATTTTAACTACATTAATGTGACCGTATGTTTACAAATTTATGTTTACTAACTTGTTTTACTACTTGTTTTTAATGCTTTTCTAACTTTTCTTTGACTAGACAAACCTACGATTTAAGTTTTTTATAGTATCACTTATTAGAAATAGAAAAATTACAAGATAGTAGTAATTTGAAACGAGATTTTTCTATTTGTTATTCAGTTACTTTTGTAAATAGACTACCAAGCAAGCTCTTGTTAAATGTCAGGCTCTTTTGTATACAGTATGTCCACGGATTGAGTTGACAAGGAAAAAAAATGTCTTAATTTTACGTCAAAACTAAAGGAAAAATATTTTTTGCTTCACCTGAAACGAGCAAAACTTTATTATTGATTCAGTGAAAAAAAAGTTTATTTTTCTCTTGATTTTCGTTTGCAGTTTTGGCGTAAATCATACTGCATATTCGCCCATAAATTTGGAAAAATCAATAATTTTTTTACTTTATTTTTACGCCACAAAATAATTACACGAAAAATTGCAGATACAAATTTTCCATTAAAAAAATAACGTCTTTAGGAAGTAACAAAAAAGAGAAGACAAGCAAATAATGGTGAAGAAATGCACAATGAGATGAAAATCACATTGTGCAGAGATGCTTATAAACAAGGCAATTTGTGATATTTTCTGCTTTATTTTATAAGAAAACTATTAAGGCAATTTGTGATATTTTATTAGTGGTTGTGTTTGGGTCGCGGTTGAGCCAATAAAGCTCGCACTTGTCGAGTTGGTCAAGTTTGCGTCCTTAGAAAGCCCCTTTTGCGTTTTTTCGCATTTATTAAATCAGGTTGAACCGAATCGTCCCATTGCAGAAGTGGTGTTTAAGTGCTCGCCGAATCGTCGAATAATAGTAAATTCGTTCAGGACAGACCGGAGCAAGAAAAGTCGTCGTAGCGTGTACTCGAAATGATGAAATTACGGCAAACAGCCGTCTAGTTCGTTGAAGCAAAACGGCCCAATATCGCGGCCTTAAATCGATGCTCAAACAGTAACAAAATGATACTTCAGTTGCAGACAGATTAACAATTCCGCACGAGGGGATGAAAAAGCGTTTTCTATTCAGGCATTGAAGCAACCTCAGGCATTTCCTTTCACTATCATCAATACATTTTCATGATAATGCTGTTGTGGGTTGACAGCAAAAAGTGGCTCCACTACTATATTGAAAATCTATTGTGGTGGAAACGATATATTATACGCTTTTCCTTGCTTTTCGATGTAAATTAACACGCGTGAAAGATGATCGTTTCCAGTTTTTGGCCTGGAAAAATTCAATCTTTGTTTACACTAAAATTCCAATTTGGGTGTGTGTATAGTTGGATCGTTTTAATTTAATTCAGTGCTGTGTGCTGGCGTATCACCGCTGCTTTATCGACGTTCTGGAATTGGGTGACGCCAAACTATTACAATTAGGTTATGGAACATTTCCATAAATCATAACCGAGTCCAGTGTGGACCACTTATTTATTAAATTACTCATTAATATAAATTGACTCTCGCAAACAATTATTATGTGATTAGCAATTTCACTCATAACTAATATTTTAATATTTATTGCTCACAATGCTAATCACTTAACGACAAATAAATACATTTTTAAATTTCATTTAACTTACACTTTGTTTTTTATATTCCACTGAAATTATTCACCTAAAGCAATTTATTTCTGTCATTTCAACATGACAGCAGCGATATTTGGCGTCGTATACATCACCAACGTGTGTCTATACAAAATGTTTTATTTACCGACGTTTTTATTGACGACTGTGATAGAAATACCATTATCCTATTTTAGGCAAACGAATATTGACGAAAAATGGGCACTTTAACTCGCTTTAAACAAAACTTGACTCTTTTTAGCTATTTGCTTGACAAGGCCCTGAATTTTTAACACGTGTTATTTTCTAAAAATACTATGCATTCAACACTACACACTTTACGAACTATTTTGTCAAATTTACGGACGATTTCGAAAAAGTACTGCTTTCCAAAGTGTTTTGTATTTTTTTACGGATTATTTGTCCCATCAAAAAAAGAAGATACCATTTGGCAGACAATTATTCAAGACATAATTTGCACAAATAATTTCCACAACTTTTACACTTCTCTGACCCGGCGGTCTAGACCTGCATTCAGGCAAAATTTACCATTACGGATATTGCAATCAAGTATAGACGTTGATGCATTGTTTGAAAATGAGATTAATATAAGATAAAAAATCCTAAAATTTCCCAGTCTACCGTCACTGTTATTGAATTTCGTTAATATTGAGACATTTTCTAACAATATTGCAAGTGTTTAAAAGAACTGCTTTTTGAATTTCAATATTTAAATTTCAATTTAATTTTAAAATTTGAGTTTGGTACAACTCCAATTGCGGAAATGCTTATTGGTATAATTTTGATTTCTTTCATGTTCCACATGTTTTTAATTTCACTGGCAAAAATCATATATTTAGAAATTTTTTCTCGATAAGACTTTTGGTTTGGGTGTTTTTCAGTTTTACAAATAAGAATAATGTTTGGAATTTGTAATTGTTATTTTCTAGAAATGAATATGATTCATATTTATAGTAAGGTGATTTATTTTTAATCAGAGCAGAATTAAAAGCTAACTGAGAATGAACTATTTTGACCACATTATCATTAACTGTGATGCAGTCAACACTTGACAAGAAGAAATGATTTGTTGAATTCTTTCTGATTGTGCTCTACATATTCTATAAAGGTCGTCACTACTGCTTTTGATTATATATTTTTTATAATTTATTGTATTAATAACTTGGTCTTGGATTGCAAAAATGAAACCTTCGGTTTCAGCAAAAATATTTGTTTTTGTTAGCCAAAAGTGTGAAGCTTTTTCATCTACAGAGTGCGCCAGAACTCGCGCTCCAGAGGAAAATGCCATATAAAGTAAGATACCAGAAACATGAAAAAAATGTTAAAAAAATTTTATCTATAAAAATTTCGAAGTTATGAGGATTAAAAGTTTGCACTTTGACTATATTTATTTCTGTTGGAAAAATAATTTTCCAAGTTTTTTTGCTATAGTCTATTAAAAGAGGAAACAAGGAAGCTGTAGCCTAAATTGTAACTCTGTTCAATGTTATTTGTGGCTTTTATTGGCAAAATTTTTGTACCTTTACTAAATAATTGTAAAAAAACATATACAAGATCAACAGTAATTAAATAGACATAAAAAAATCAAATGTCAAAAAATAAATGTCAAAATTTTTTGACAGATAGAATCTTACTTGAAATTTTTCTCTGGGGCGCGAGTTCTGGCGCAGCCTGTATATAGCTGAAAAATCTACCATGTAAAGGCTTTTCTTTTAAAATTTCTATAATTATATTTTCGTTAATAATCATTTCATTTATGTATGGATTAATTAAATTCAATGGAGTAAAATTTTCATCATTCAAACCATTAGCTTTAATCAAAATATTATTATTACACTGATCTAAGAAATATTTCCTAAGTGAGACAATTTGTCGACTACTCGTATGTAAACTAAATTAATTAAAAAAACTAAGCTCATTATTTTTTGTTGAAAAAAAAATCTTTCAATTAATGATTTTGATGGTATTTTCTAAGCTGGGTAAACAATATACTGATTTCGACATTAATGTTATTAATATCTGTTTTTATCTATTTAATAACTCCATACGAATAAACTAATACAGGTATTGCAAATGTATTTAGATCTTTCATAAGATTTTTGAATTTAATTGAATTTTAAGTAATTGTTTTGACCTCATTATGAAGCTGCATACGAGTTTATCTCTAATAAAAAATGCCCCTTTAAATTTGAATTGGATCTGTTTTAAAATTATTGTTTTCTTTTTCTAATGTTAATCATTAGTGGTTTTCCAAAAGTTTATAATACATTTCAGGAATGAGATTAGACTTGAATGTATTTTGTATATTCTCAAAATTTTATTTAACCAAGAATAGGGTACAGAGTCAGAATCATAAGCTTCTTTGTCGTCATTTTTGCTTTTGATTAAATATCTTTTATGTTTTTGTGTACTAATTACTTGGTTTTGAATTGCGAAAATGAAACCTCCAGTTTCAGCAAAAATATTCGTTTTTGTTAAAGTGTGAAGCTTTTTTATCTATGTAGCTACCATGTAGACTTTTCTTTCTTTTATCTTTTATTTAAAAGTTTAGTCAATTAAAAAACCGTGTTATCAAATCACACGGAAAATCGAAGGTTTTTACTTTGTTTACAACTCACAAAATAATAGTTTTCCGTTTCCATCAATAATAAAGTAAATGGAGTTCTCCCGTATCAACTATTATAAAACTTGGCAAAGCCCACACACGTAATTCCCTAATAAAATATGCACGAGCGTCGAAAATCGCATATTCTTTAACAGAAAGCTCGAAATAACCGAAGTCCCACAAGTTAGAACTCGCTTGTCGTGCCTTTCCTTGTCCGATTCTTATCTCTGCAATTTGTGTGCTAGAAATGACGTAAATAACAGTTTGGTCTCTTTATTGTAAAACCGTGACACGTTCGTTCGTTTGTTAATACGTCCATCTATTAAGCAGGTATTAGACAGGAAGCCTCTAAAGAGCAGTGCGTCTGCCGGACATCCGGTCAGGCCGAAACGAGCTCGGTCATCGATTGCTCTAGTCTCCTGTTGCCTGTGGCCGAAATCAGACACCCTACTTATCCCGAAGCCAAAAGCTCGCTCGTTATCGCGCCGCCACATGAAATAGTGAGACGGAAAAGAATCACACGTAATTGACTTCTCGGAAAACGGAGATGATCGCGGCTAGACATGCCATGCTATTTTCGAAACGAGGATGGCACTAAATTGATTTTTGTCCAAAACGCAGCCAATTGCGAGAACACAACCAACGATACAGGTTGCTATTATTAATCTAAAATTTCGTATTTAACATTCTTAAAATTCCAGAGTTTTTATAAGACAGAAATAAACAGGCCAAAATCATGTAATCTTTGACAACTGAAGTTTAAAAATGTTAATAAAGATTTTTGATAACAGTTTTTATGAGGGATTTTTATTTTTATTAGTGGCTCTACTATAAAATTTTAAATTTATTTAACGAATTATTTATTTGCATTATGAACATTAAAATTTTATGAATATTTCACTTGTTGAAACATTTGTTTAGTTTTAATATAAAATTTTATAGTTAAAATAATTATAAAAATCATGGACTTATCAATGTAAAAAATTAATAAATTTGGTTAATTTTTTTCATTTTTGTAATTGTTTGGGTAATAAAAGTTCCAACTCTAGTAGTTGTGAGAAATTTTGTAACTAATTGTTTTAAAATGTTTATGGAACAAAACTTTACAACCGTAGTTTTTAAAGTTTTTAATGAGAATTTTTATGTTTTTATTCTTTTTTATGGCTCAATTTTCGATAATAGTTATTTATGTTCAAAGGATCAACAAGCTATTTTAATCCCAAGAATGATAGATAATTTCGAAGGGGACCAAAAAGAGCCGAGGGCATTTTCATTGAGGGATTAACGATGTTTATTCGAGAGATGCATACAAAACCTTCCTCCTAACAGACTAAATTAATAATAACATAGGAAAATGATAAATTTTGTAAAATAATGTCAAATAATTTACAGTTTTAGGAGTAAAATCGGTATTTCATTTTTTTTATTTCAAAATTGTGAGAATATTGACAAATGCTGATTTCAGCTACATTTTCTTTCTTTTTTTTTCAACTTTATCCTATGTATAAAGGTGTAACTTATGTTAAACATTTTCGAATTTAGATCATTTTTATGTTTATTTTCCAAACTTGACGAGTTTGAAAATTGGTATTTTATTTATTTTTTCTCGAGGGAATAAAGCGTCACTTAATTCTCAGTTGGGACGAAATAGTTATTTTTTATGTATCAAGGGAATAAACAACAATTTTAATCCAGAGAATGTAGGTAATGGAGCCAAGAGTATTTTCATTCCAGGGTTTATCGATTTTTGTTCGAAAGATGCATACAAAACTTTCAACCGAAGAAGCTAAATTTATAACACTATAAGAAACTGATAAATTGTTTACAATGTTAAATAATTTGTCAAAATATTTCGTTTATTAAATTGCAGTTTTAAAAAGTAAAAATTGGTGTTTTATTTATTTTATTATAACATGAGGAAATAAGGCGTCACTTGATTCCCCGTTGGGGGGAAACATTATTACGAAAGCATTTGTGTCAATAGTAAGACATTACTTAACAAAGCCTTTATTTGTGATATTAAAATTAAAAAAATATTAGAGAAAAAATACTTAGGCTCTATACCTAATTTTTGTTTTTGTAAGGAATTAAAATTTAGATTTTCTTCATAATAAAAAACTTAGGAATAAAATAAAAATAAAAACAATTGTAGATTTGTGAAATTCCAAACCATCAATTTATTATTCGATTCAACCAAATTTATAAAAACGATTTCTCGTTTCTATAATATTTTGGTATTATTTTTTGATAAGAAATTCCTTCAGATGCATTTGAGATATATTGTTTTTTTTTTCAGATGCAAAAGTTAGTTGAGTTTTCACGAGTCAGCTTAGAGTACTTTTCGAAAATACACATTTTAAGCTTGGAGAGAAACGTGTTTCATTTAATATTTCGTCGTAAGAAGTCTAGGAGATAACACAAATTTTTCAAATATAATTTTTAGAACCATATTTTAAAGAAAATATAGAGATAAGTTTTTCTTTTAATTATAATTTTTGAAGTCGGAAGAAGTTCCCTTGTTAGTGTTGGTCTGATGAGATTTAATTAACTCGTGCCATAAGAGAGTGTAACAATTGCGACTTGCGGAATACAAATGGGCTCAAAGCATTGGGAACATATTAAAAAAAAAATCTTTTTTAGCCTACGAAATGTACTGTTCTATTTTTTCTGTTTATAAAAATCATGGGATTACCAACATAAAAAATGAAATCATGTTGAATTAATTTGAATGCGTGATAGATTTGGCATCCATTACCCATTGTGTATCGTGCGTGGTTTCAATCCTCCGGAATGGTGAGCTGTGATAGCGGTGGAACACTTCTTTCTTATGCAAAGTGGTCTTAAACCGCTCTTATTAAATAATGCATGGATCGTTGAAAAAGTCTAGACGTTTTGTTATGAACTCGCAAAGTGCTATATAGCACGCAATTTTTCCACGGATGGCATGGAGCCAAAGTAAAAAACGGCACGCTTAAGATGATAACCGTGTCTATCCGAGAGGGCCTTCCCGTCCTATATTTCATCATTATGACGTTTAGCGAGTGCCCGAAGCTGCTTTTTACGCACTCGACTTAGCCCGGAATTTGATCGATTTCAGTGGTGTAACAAGTTTGTTCCCTTGAATTTATTTACTTCCGAGTGCAGACTGTGTTATTATACCATTGCGAGTACCTGCTTATTATTTATACCAAGACAGCGAAATTACTAACTGGAACATTATTACCAAGAGCGAGTCGTGCTTTGAGAGCAATAAAAGTACAAACTATTACCAGAGTTACATTCAGATTAATATACAGGGCGAACACTTGAAACTAATTTAATTACTTTACTACGCCGGAAATATTTATTAATTTTTTTTGTAACTATTTTAATCTTTCAAGTCGGAAGAAGTTTTCTTGTTAGTGTTGGTAGATGAGTTTAATTAACTCGGGTCATAATAACGGAATGTAACAATTGGCGACTAGAGGAATATTCTGTTCTAGTGATTTGTTGAAAACAATCCAGTGGTAGTTATCGCCGTGAAAACGGGGTCTAACGCACACTTGACGCAGGAAGTGTGTCGTTGAGTATTTACAAAGCCGTTTCTCAAGATATTTTTCAGTGTCTACTTACGTGTGTAAAAAAATAATAGTAGACTTTCATTCCTCGCTCTGCTGCCAACTCGGCGAAGTCATTTGTTGGACAGATGAAAAAATAATCACCGACAACATCGCCCACCATTTTCTGGTTTAAGTAGCCGTCGTTGACGTGCTCCCAATCAGTATACTGGAAAAATTAACAATCATTTTTACACGTTAAAAATTCCTTTTTGGTGAAGAATATATTGCATTCAATTTATCTCGACCTGAGAACATTTTAAACCTCTTACCTGAAATACTATAGCATCACGTTCCAACCGACTCATATTTTTGAATATCGTATCGATAATGTCGTGATATTTGTCTCGTTGAAGGAAGCTAGGGCCATCCTTTTCGAAGAAATCGATAAAATCGTAAAGTAAGAAGTAAGTGCCTGAAATCAAATGAAGCGTTTTAGAAAGCCATAAAGAGCAAATACTTGAATAGGTATTTGGTTTTTAAAATAACAAAGCATGATTTGAATTTATATTGCACTTGTAATATTGGTGGATGCGCCGGGATAGTTAACAAATTATTATTTTTTTTATTTTAACATTTTTTTTAAAGTTTGGGTTTGGATTGCCGTTTTTGTGATTGTGGAACACTAATTTAAGAGAAATAATGAGGCTGCTTATTTTCTAAACAATAAGAACTGATTTCTAAATAGTAGTGGATCAGTTTTTTAAATTATTCTTTGAAATTTTTGCTAAAAAATGTGTATACTCGTAAAACTATATGTGAAAAATTAAAATAAAACATATAAGTTTCTCAAAAATGTTGATAAATAACAATTTCTAAATCATAAGATGGTAAAGTTAAAATATTTGTGAAGAGATTTATACAAGAAAGAAATAAGTACAAGATATAAGAAATAAGTAACTTTTAAGTTAAATAGATATGAACCTTTTCGTGGTAACTTTTCTGAAATAGTAGTAAAATTTCATTTCATTATTTCTGAATTATTCTAATTAGACTCTGCACAAAGAAAATTTAAAACTTTATTTTTTGACACACTGCTTTTAGAGTTTAAACTTCGAATTTTTTTACACTCTTAACAAAAAATGTTCTGTCTGTTTAACATTTATTTTATCATTTTCTTGTCTATTAGACTTGGCTGATGTGCTGATTACAAATAAAATTAGATAAACAAATTATTACCTAATGTACAAGATTGAAAAAATGATGAAAACTCAAATTATTAGTTTCTTATGATACTCGATCTTATACTTTTTTTACAACTAGCACTAAAAATGGGCTTATTAGCGTTTGCATGAAGTGTTAAAAATGCAATTTTTTGGAATTAGTGTTAAAAGTAATTCACTTTTAAGTAAAAATACAATGAAGTTCAGTTTATTTCACATAATTATGAACATAAACTGTACAATTCGTAAAATAAAAATTAACTCTTTATGTTTTTTCATTATTTGAAAGCAATATGTTGGATGCGATTCTGTTCTTGTTTGCCATTGAATGTTCAATATATCCCACGGCGACCGTTGAAGACTTCCAACCACCGTGTCTCTTGCAGCTGCTTTTGGAAAATCTTCTTCAAAATTCATGTTTTTATCACCGAACCAGTACAAAAATACAAGGGAACAAGGAATTGTTGTCATTTTAGCATTTTTGAAGTGATAAAACCTATTTTTAATAGTGGTTGTACAAAAAATATTACTTAATACACGTGATAAAAGTATTTTTGTTTTGCTCGTGATGCTCGTGTCGCAAGCTTCTTTCCCTCAAAATAAAAAATTGCTTATATTGAAGTACAAAACATGTCTTTGAAAAACTCAGATGTTTCAGGTTATAGTAAATGACAATGTTCAGAGTTTTTCCTATTTTTAAATATGAGTTCCAAATGCGCTTTGATGTAATATGATCATGAAATATGTAAACGCTTTTTCGCTTTTCTTTTCAGTAAAAATTGTGTTGACTTTGTTTTTTCTGAATTATTTTAAATTCACATGTTTGCTGGATGCCTTTGGCTAGGAAACTTTTGTGTTTAGAAAACTGTAATAAACTAGTGAAACCATATTTTCATACAACAAAAAGACAGAAAATCCGAGTTTTTATTGTCACTCATAACTTGATCTGTGATCTAAGATAATAACTGGATTATAGATAGAGGGTAAATTGAGTATGAAACCAAACGTTTTTTGATAACTATTTATTTTTTGAAAAAATTAAATAACGACTAGCTATTAATACAACATTAAACTACGAACATTAAAACTTTTGATGTCTTTATACCTACAAAATCTGAAATATTATTAAATGCTAAATTTAATAAACAATTCAATTGCTAAGTTGTTAATTATTTCTTAGTAAATACTTAAAAATTGTAGGAGCACTTTTGGTGGATGCGCCGGGCTGGGTACCAAAATATAATTAGAGTTTATTGTTCAAATAGCGAATATGGTTGTAAAATGATAAAACCTTTCACCAAAATGTTATTATGTGACTACAATATCGTAGTATTTTACTAGATATTTTAATTTTTTTATTTTTCTCATTGGTAAATACCTAATTTTTTTCTTATATTTATTACAAATTGGCTAATTTTTAGTCTCAGATTTCGTCAGCTTACCAGCTATTTTTTTAAAACTGTCTTACTTTGTAAAATTTTCCTTAGTTTACAAATTCTGACAGCGCAAATTTAAGCCGACTGTGGTTCAAAGTGTCTAAATTTTGTATACGTGGGTGTATTAAAGCACTTTCAGTCTTTGAAAAAGGTCACGATCAAGAGTCAGACTTTTTTCTCACAGACCGCAACGTCTCCTTCACTTATCCTTGCTTCAACCCACATAAAATTAAATCCTCGTGTATTTTTAGTAAATTTCGTTCCGGGTCTAATTGTAAAGCGGGTTTCCGATTGCCTGTCGCCGTGCGCATTACTTCAATTAGGTTTTATGTGCCGGACTAAACGTGAGCTGAAAAATAATATACAACGTGACTGCACCCTCGGAGCCCTCCTCGCACAATAACGTGCTAAAATCGCATCGGTCTGTAGCGTGTCTGTAATTAACCGAAACTTATCGTTACGAATTAAAATCGAGTTGACAGTTGCATGCCTGAAATTCTTTCGTGTTTAACCGCCGGAGGCGTCATTTTCATTGCGGACACGTAGAAAATTACCACCACAACGACAAACTTCGGACGAGCCAATTACCAACCTCAAAAATGAAAATACATAGATATGGGGATTTTTAATGAACAATGAAGTTTGCAGGATCGGTATCTGATTTCGGGGGCCTTCCAATCAGGGAAACAATAGCCGAAGGGATAAGCTACAACGAGATCTCTTTATGTATTATTTATGGCGGGTTAGATAAACTCGCCGAATGGTATAACCAGACGGTTATTTATGCGAACGTGAAACTGGAGAAAGAATGGAGATGTGTGAATGGGGAACAGTTCATTTTTCTACTCTTTTTCCGGAATAAAAATGATAACAAGACAGTGTGGATACTCTGATTTGGTAAACAATTTAGAGACTCGACTGTGTGGGTGTAGAGGTCAAAGGGCGCATTATCTTCTCTGTTTTGGTTTATTTCTTGTTGTTATTGTGTTTTCTTAGGTAATTAGAAGGTTCAATATCGATTTTATCGAAGTTACTTAGACGACACATTTTGAAACAGTAATTACGTTTTTTATATCAAATTTAAAGATAAAAACCGATTTAAAAAAATTAGAATTAAGACAAGAATTAGAAATTTTTAATTCGGACTTGTAAAATATTCCAGGTATTTGAGCTTTTTGCAAGACCCGGAAAATTACGGGTAATTTAAAAGTTAGAGTGGACAATTTACAATTTAAAAACTATTCAAAACATGTTTGCGAAATGAGAAAATTTATAAAATTAGTGTGAACAGAGTTTTCGTGAGTAGATAATGTGGGAGTTACAGGAGAAATATTTGGCGATTTTCGGACCGCAAAATAATATGTAGTAAAATCGTGGAAATTCTGGTTCTAAAATTGCCTTTGGAGCTTTTTGCGTGGGACCTCAAAGACCAGTAAAATGTGGAAAAAAGCATAAATGTCTATAGATAAAAAAATTCTTTTTCAAATTTTCAAAATAAATTTTAAAGTCGTCAGATTGTTTAAAAATATTTCAAAATTAGTTTTTTTTAGACAAACAGCAATGGAAATAAATAAAAAATAGATAGAAAGTCCTAGATTCGAGTATTTTTTTTATAAATTTTATTTTATTCTAAAGTTTTAAGTCTGTTTTTGCTTTTTATCAATGATTTTTAAAATATGGATCAATTACATTGCTGCATGTTTCTACAAAAAAAAATTCTTTATGTAAAGCCGACCTAGAATTCTAATAAGTTTTCTTTTTGTCTTATCTTAGCAAAATAATTTTTGAGAAATTGATTGGTATTTCACTGATTTTTAGCAGTTTCGCATTCTGATCCTAAGAAAAATTAACAACTTATCTATCTTATTTTTTTTTATATTTGGTACTCCTAATTTTTTTTTCAAGCTGTTTAATGAGATAAACGCAGTTTTTTGTATTATTTATTTGTACCAATTTTGCAGAAAACACACTCAAATATTCCCGAACTACAATAACTGTAAAAGGTGTAAATAGGTTTCCACTTTATGTCTAATTTTCCCCCGAAAATCCGAAATATCTGAACTATTTAGGTGGCAAACTTTTATTTCTCGAGAACAGAAAAGTCTCCAACCAAATAAAAGCCTTACGCCGTTCACGCCCTAAGTGCATAAAGCTTTTAACAAACTTCGAAACGAAGTAAAAGACATCCGTCTTGTCTGCGTCTCGATTTGGGCGTCTTGACCGTGAACAGTTGAATCCTTTGATCGTTTCGTATTCATCGCAAGTTCTATAATAAAACGCCCTTCTGATTTGCCATAAAGAGGTTAAAAATTTATTGGCTCATTCGTTTTAACATTAGTTTTTTTTCCCTTCTCTCTATCGAATTCACTGTAATTGACACACAAGATCGAGCGTCTCAAAACTTTAAATCAGTGATGAAAACTTTACCAAGTAAATAAAAAACTGTGCTAAATGATTAGTGGCTTAACTCAAATAACTCTGCTCGTAAAATTACCTCAAACTCGGTCTGTATCGTGTTGTAATCCCGACATTTATTTAAAAAAGGATTTTATTGCCGCTTTATTTACCGACTGGGAGTTCCCTCTGTGCTTGAATACTTTTATGTGTTGTTTAATTTCTTTTCCATCCAATTATCAATTTCACTTTGTTCAAATTCGTTTAGTTGATTACGATATGTGGGTGTAATCTTATTGCGCTTGCTTTAACTGCATTAAAGCACCTTTATGTTTTGTGTGATTGCACACAAAGGAAATAAAATCTAAGAGTGAGTTTAACAGTGGCATTTTTTAATGCGAATTTTTCGTGGCACTCGCTTT